GAGGTACCTATTTACATTCAACTTCACAAACCGCCACATCTAATAGAATGTTAGCGTTTAACGATATAGCAAAAGGGCATCATTTCCATAACACAAATTCCAGCAGCGAAACGTAAAACGGTGAAAGTCCTAACCAGACCGTCTGAAATACAAATAGTCTATTTTCTTGCATGTAACTTGTAAATTGACCACTGCTGTATAACCCGAGTAAATGAGGATAATCTAAAAATAAACACGGGGCCAAGGGAACATAACAGACGTCTGCCAGATTTCTACTTTCTCAATGAGCTTGAAATATTACATTTGCTCCAGAAGATAGTATTAACGATACGACCCATCACATTGAAGAAACCATCGTTGTGTTTTATGGTCTATAAATTTCTTCAATCCAAAGATGTGGTGGACGATGAGAATTATACAGCTCTATACATGCATTTAGTGGTTGGGTACTTTAATTTTATGGTATTGTCAAGACATCGAGTTTATTGTTTTAAGGGACAAAATATTAATATTAGTTTTACACTACAGAAAGATTGTTGTGCGCTTCGATAAAACCTATCAGAGATAGATTCTAATTTTATGTATATATTAGCCATACAGATTTATATACCTCATGTTAAAAACATAAATATCGTCAACTTACTTCATTAGATTAGTTATTACAAAAATTGGTCCTCACAAATCATGTCCAGACAAACATGCAAATTTTACCAAATCGATAGCTATTTATGTAAAACAGAAAATATGTTATATTAAAGTTCGCAGTAGACACCGGTAAGCATAATCAAAGACTGCATCTCAGGCCCTCGAGGGCAAGATTGACGTCCGATAGCTTGTAATGACGCCTCGTCTCGATTAAACGAACACAGGCCTTATAACTCTTGCAACTTGAGCTTTAACGTGTGCTGTAAATTTAGAGCAAATAATAATTTACGACCAATGCTCATTCTAATAGAATGAAATTCTTCTTGTTAACTGTGACACATATCCATGTACATGAATAATACTTTAAAATGTACATACATGAATGAAAATACTGTGATTAAAAATTTTATATTTCTCCTATTTGCTCATTTAACTAACTTTCACCTAACTTGTGGCGTGAAAGCAAGCTCTAGACGATTATCACTTAACATAAACTCAATTAACTTGATGTTAGATATATTAAATATAATAGTATAAATGATGGTTTTTATAAGCCTGGGTTATATGCATCATATATATTAAAGTGTCAAACTAATAAAATTGTATTATATTTGAATTACATATTTAGCGTATAACGATGTTTGACGTGAAAAGAGAATATTGAAGTCTGCACAAGCACATCCAATAAGCAATATTGTCAATACAATATTTAATGCATAGACCGTATTTGTATGTCAAAGTAATTATTTTCTTAACGCCAACTTACTTACGAGATATTTAACGCATTGTGATCTTTCGTGCCGTATTATTTATATATGCTTTTTATATGCATTTCAGTGTTAATAACGATAATAATAGGTTTTCAATCAAGTCACAACTACAAATGACACTAATTGTTCAATAATGATTACGCACAAAAAAACGTATATAGCAAGAAGCCGGCGCGTTCATTTTCTGAATAAAATACATAGACGCGTATGGATATTAAGAATACGTGAGATAATGTATTCCCCATTATAGTGGTATGATGACAATGGAACTTGTTAACTTGCATCGGCACAGTTTCCAACAATAGTTGATGTGTGTTTATGTAACGTAGTTCTTCACGATGTACTAATCTATACTAATATTATGAAGATTTGATTGTTTGTTTGTTTGTACCGAATAGGCTCCGAAACTACTGAATCGATTTAGATAATATTTGGTAAGAATATAGTTTGAGACCCTGGGAAGGACATAAGATAATTTTTATCCCGAAAATTATCCGTTAAGGGGATGAAAATGGGGAAGAAAGTTTGTATGCGGAATCAACCTAGGGACGAACCCGAGCGAAGCGAGGTTGAGTCGCTAGTCATTGATATCTTTCAAGTGATTACAGCGAAGTAATTAGTTCAAAAGAGCTGTTAATGTTTTTAAAACTACCTCTTTCTCACGTCTGTAATTTTTATGTGATTGCTAGTTAAAATTTATAGTTCAGTTATAAATTATAATTGTCAAAAAATTCATAGCTAGTTTAATTGTTTATTACTATACAAAAAAATTTACTGTGTGAATCACTTAACACTTTTAACTATTAGAAGGCATAATTTACATAACAATCTTAACAATCAAAAAGTAAATAAAGTTTAACAGTTAAAAAAAGTGTGTGTGTACTTATGTACGCACGTAAGAAGTTATACTTCTTTGGCGTAACAGATCAAAAATAGCTAAGATTTCATTCCGTATGTCACAACTCTCTGTTTGTAAAAGGAACGCAGCTAACTTCATCATGTCGCTTTTTGGCTGTCGGTGTGCGAGCGCATCGTAAAAATTTTACCCTCATATTTTTTTCCAAAAATGCCAAAAAAAGTATAACTTCAAAATAGGTTCACGATAGTATAATATCAGTTAACCTTTGCAAAGTTGCCATATTCGACTCGACCGATAGTCCTAGAAGAGAATATTTTACACTGTTATACCAAATGAACGATGCTATCAAGCTACTTTATTATGGTATCGTGTCGATTTTCCTCTAGCGTTTTGAGATTACCGGATTGCTTTGATTCATATCGGCTTTAATTTCTCCTTAAAGGTCGGAAGGCTGTGCTCTTTATTAGTTCCTACTAATCCAATTTACTGCACGCTTTACGAACTGCTGCACTTTAATTTTATTGAAGCTTAAACTTACGCAATTATCTTGGTCAAGTAACAAGTAATGTAGGGAAAACTAATTTATCGTTCATCTTATTGTTAATTAAGTTTTATTCTAGTAATTTGCTTTCATTTTTCTTTCTTAAGTATATATATATATATACTATTGGGTACTGCAGGTTAATGCGTTTAAATTAAGACAATCATCAAATTTACCACCAAGCTTTATATAACAATAGTATGAAGTATTGAACTCAACTAAATGCAAAACAAAAATCTATACATATAATAAAATTGTAACGAAGCCGAATCTGTACATTAAATATTTTTTGGAAATTCTTATTGAAATAGACATTATTATCGATACAGAGGCCGAATCTATAGTTTTTAAAATTTTTGCCTGTCTGTCTGTTACCGCATCACAGAAAAACCACTGGAGGGATTTTGATGAAATTTGGTATGATGATAGCTGGTTATCAGGGTCAACATATAGGATACTTTTTACCGCGGGAAAATATATCATTTTTGAAAAAAAAATAAAAAAAGTGCATTGTAAGAGTATACTTAATATGTAAAACCTAAGAATTTGCTATTTAGGAATCTGAACGCGGGCGGAGTAGCGGGCAATGCTAGTACTAAATACTTTCGAGTTTAAAATTAAAATAATTACATTTGCACGAATAAACAGAATATCAATCGGTTTAAAACAACCGTTTATAGCTTTATTGAACTTTAAATGGAGTTCTATTATCTTCATAACATTCACGAAATTTTTAGTTTAAATATTCTATATAAAACCGTAATTCTGTTACAATTTTATTACAATACGTGAATGAGAATTCAATTTAGTCAGCTTGAGACGAGAAACCTATCTAAATTGTTTATAAATCAACGCCTTTGTTTTGCACGACAAAACGTTACGGTTCACGGCGTGGTCAAATTGGAGGTCGAGAGTAGTAATGCCAAGACTAGTAAGCTACTCAGGACAGGATAAGTAATACAAATCTAATTAATGTTATAAAAAGTGGGGTTATAAGTTTAACACGTGTATCTGCGTGTCTGTCTGTGACATCTTAGCGCCCAAACGGATGAACCGATTTAATTTATTTTTTGTTTGAAAGGTGACTTGATAGAGTGTTCTCAGCTATAAATCAAGAAAATCCGTTTAGCCTAGTTTAGTTTAGAAAATCCGTTTGCAGCTCTTTTCTATAAGGATATGAGCAACTTCTATAGATCTAATAGATTCGAAACTTGGTATCCCGTAACTTTAATGCCATTACAATGATATTGTACTTTGGCCTGATGCTTCACTTGAAATATACTGCAAAATACTCAAATCTATTAAAATACTGCAGAGATATAGTGCTAAGGCTCATTGAAATGGCCTCAATTTATAAGCTATCTTGTTGAGGGATTTTTAAATTTTAAATTTAAAAGTTATCGCTGTAACGGCTTTACAGATTAAAGTGAAGTTTGGATTGGCAAGGCCGCAAGCTGAAACTAGTTTAAAATAAAATCCTATACCTACTACTATAAGGTATTTCATTTATATTTCCGTATTCTGTTACATTTTATAGTTTATAAAAAGGAAATATACATAGGATACGTTTTATCTCATAACATCGAGTGGTTTCCGTGGGATATTAGTCTATTGCAAAAAGCTCGAGTTATAATAGTAATGAAGTTCCTTACGCCGACATCACGTTAATGCCATTCAAATACATATATATCTACTATTAAAATGTATTCATTGAGAAAATTAACTTTTATAATGAGAGTAAATGTAATTTCAAGATGGACGATTTATAAGCAATTGGAGTTTAATTTGAAAACGTAAGTATAAATCCTTATCGATTAAAATCATTGAATCGATTTAATTTATCACTTTTGTTATAGTTTATTCGTATCCGTTATATCACCATCAATCATAAATGATATAGCACTACTAAGTCTCATTTATTTGATAATTTATAATATCTACAAATCATGTTTTCATACTTACCTTCTCTGTTATACTGACTACACTGACGCTCTTTAAATTAATATTGACGATTCAAAAGTACTTGTAGAAGTCTAATTAAATAAAGTGTATTCTCATTTCATCTATTCTATGTAAAAAAAACTTAAATATGATAGGAAACCTATTTTTTTTTCAAATCATCTAAAAATCAAATCCCAAATTTTATAATAACCTGGCAACTCTACACAGGAGTTAAGTTACTGACCTGCAAAGGCGTGAAGGCGACTGAAGACGCCGTACCAGAAACCTGTCGTCTGATACTAGTGGCTCCTCCATACTGTTGCTGCTTCTGGAGGTTCTTTTGTAGGGTCTTACTGATTCGAACTTTGGTCTTTTCGTCTATTTGAGGTAGACGAACCCGCCCTGTTCCCGATTTGCCGATAGTACCACGTGTATAACCTAAGTCTTCTTGGTAAGCGTCATCTTCGATCTGTGGAAAAAATAAATAAATAAATTATTTTATGCGGTCCTTAGGCAATGAAACTGAGAACATGCAAAAAACGTATGCACATAAACGCGTTATTTTTTTATTATATTTGCTTTGTACACATATGATTCAAGCGAAATTTATTCTACGATATAGATCTTGGTTGTATTCTCTCAGATATTTTAGTGTTATAAATTAGGAAGACCATCGCGATGCAAGCTCTCAAGGCCTTTACAATATTTTTCACCATGAAATCATAAAATTAGGTAAAGTAATTTTCCATATTTGCATTAAGAAAAAAATGAATATTATATTAATTTCATAAAACCTTTTAATGTTTCTGTCAAACGTTATCTTTAGTAAGCTTTCAATCCATATTAATGGTCTCGTTCAAACCTAGATTATACACATAAAACCGTTTCACAGAGGATTTATAAGCAATTGTAATTAAATCGGAATAAGGAGCATAAATCTTAATCAGTTAAAATATTGCTATTGTAGTAGATTCTCTGCGTATATTTCACCATCCATCATAAACAACGCTGCATCTGCACGATTGGATAGTATCTTCAACTCTAGGAGGTCACGAATAACCCACTTTTTAAACGAAGGGCAACATATACGTAAATCATCTTAATAAAAAGCTTTTAAAAATAAGGTCTACTAATTTTAATCTCTCTCTGTCTATGTCTATGTACTAATGTCACTGATTAGTTAATTATATATTAGTACTTAACACCAAAATTTCATATTTCTTACGAGTATAAGAAACACATTCACATAGTACAGTGTGGTGTAGTACATAAGATATACATATTTTCAAAACTAAATATAGCTAAATGGATTAAAACTTATTTATATCTTATCTATATTTAAATGTAGGTATATATTTAATAGTGTACTAAAAGACTTTATTTACCAATAAACTTGATAATTATCTATCCTCTATAATCTATATATATTAAAACATAGTATTTACTTGTAATTATACAAGCAGGCACTTAAGAATTCGCCATGAGACCGATACGATTTGAAGGAGCGGGATGACAAGATAATGTTCTATCGTAAGTGAAAAGTATACAGCGATAGATGCTCGACGTATTTAAGCACCAAAACTGTTTTTAATTCACTATAAATTAATTTAAAAAATCAAGAAATTCGGTAACTGAACAAAAACTTCTAGGCTTCCTGACAAAACAAAAACCCTACAAAAACAGTGAGCTGTTTTTGAGATAAAAAGCAATATGTGTGCACAACATGTATTTTTCAGAAAAATATATTATCGAGAAAATTTTCACCAATCGTATTCTATAAAATTTGGACAATTCAAGATAAAAGTCCGAAGTATCATTTCCCTAAATATCAAAGTGGTAACTTTCAAAGATTCTGAGATAAATAAGACATAACGATGCCTATGTACACAATTGCCATATGCACACTCATTAATATGTCACATAGTGATGATGTTCTCCTAGCCGATTCCGGCCACGGCGGCCAATCTCAATGAGATTAGCCAACTGCGCAGGAGATATTATAGTGCTCAAGTGTACGCGCAGACACAAGTGCACTCCATATTCCTATCACTCTCATACTCCGGTGGGACGACCACTCGACACGACCGGTGAGAGTTAAGGCGCAGGACCGACGGCTTTACGTGCTCTCCGAGGCACGGGGGTGAAACACCGCCAACTTCCCAACTCCGGGCTGTTACTGAGACTTACTATACAGGAAGACTCAATAACTAAACTTGGCCCGACCCGGGACTCGAACCCAGGACCTCCGGGTGTGCAGCCGTACATGCTAGCCACTACACCACCGAGGCAGTTAAAATGTCACATAGTAATAGAACTTTAAATACACGTGTTATAGTTTACAGTTTACACCTATAATTACTAAAGTTTTCGACATGCATTGGTGAAGCAACGGGTTTGTACATCCGTGCATCACCAGCTCTAGTTCCGGTCTATTTGAAATAAGCGAAAAAACATTGAAACATTACTTGAAATTCTACTCATCTGCCGTGATTCTTAGAGCGTGACGTCAATTTTATTATCAAAGAACAGTGAACAGAAATGGCATCGCGCATTGAGAAATTCACTTTTTTATATTTGTGTAACATAATAAGATACTTATTTGAAAGATTTTTTATCAAATCAAAAGCATTAAAGAGAACGCAAAATAGGTTCATACACGTTTTACAATCATAGTGAAAGACAAATGTTTCTTTACATAAGAAAACATTACGGTCAATTTTACTGTCTTTTATTTTTGATCCATTAAATTCATAGTGCAAATCGAGTCAAGTTAAAAGTTTGAATCGGCAGATTAATGGGACACGTTTATTGCGAAGGTTCATTATAATATAAGCATTGCCTTAAAATTATAATCAAATTAAATAAAAAAATGGAATAAGAACATCAACTTTTTTTTTTAATTCAAAGTTTTTTATTCAACTTTAGGTTTTTACATATTAGGCGTAGCTACGAATTAAAATGTTATGAACGTTTCATTTAGTACTATACATTTTATATATATATATATATATATATATATATATATATATATATATATATATATATATTATATTATAATATATATCACATACATCAAATAATATCAAATAATAATACAATCAATTTTTTAAATAAAACTATCTTTTCGAATTTTTTCGCTAATTTATTTTGATTACAGACTGTAACAACGATATAATGCTTTTGAGAGATCTTAAACCTTAGTCTCTCCTGTGACCATGATTGCTGTAAAGTATTCGAAACGCCGGGAACCAAAAATCTAAATAAATTCGCGAAAAAATCCGAAAAGATAGTTTAAAGTTTTATTTAAAATGTCAAATATTCGCGCAAATCTAAGAAAATATTACAATAAAAATTATCCATTATCGGGACAAGTAGTACCTAAATTAGGCTACTATTGACCTAAATTAAGTGATTAGAAAAATTAGGATAACTACATTAGTTATCTTCTATAATATAAAAATGAATCGCTGAAATTGTTCGTAAACGCAAATCTCGAGAGCAGCTGAGCCGATTTCGCTAATTCTTTTTTTAGAATATTCCTTGAAATACGAGGATGGTTCTTACGGAGAGAAAATTTTTAAAAATTGCCTGAAAAGTCTAAAAACAACACTTTTCTATACTCCCATACAAAAGATTCGTAATAATACTTAAAAGTCAATTTGAACTTTAATACCATACCATAAAGTTTGAGTGTTAGTGGATAGGTTCCGGGAAGGCAAAACAATTGAGTGATATTAGTATCGTATAAATATTAATGTCAATATTTGTCAATATTATTCCCAAAAAAAATATGGCTAACGCGCGCTAATAACTATTTATATCTATTTAAAACCGAGGGTGAGCCGCTAGTAGGTAATAAAAATATTTTGTATAAATATATAGTATAAGTGATTAAATGTTATTTCTAAATTTACAATACTTGTTCTATGTTTACAACTTAAGAATAAACCGCACTGCAAATGAAACGGCAAATATCGGTGATTATTACTGTAATATTACATATAGCATTTGCATGAACTGCCCACCGGTCTGATTGGTGTACAAATATGGTTCACAGATTTACAAGTACCACTTTACAAATTATACTTAGAATTTATACTCGTACGCATTGTATATTATATTATAACATGTATGTAATATTATGGAACTAATTGGATTTTAATTTATTCGTACATCAACGAGCCGTTTTAAGTTATGAAATATTGGTGAATATTGTATAGATTTATTATGCTTAGCCTTAGTGGAATGTAAAATATGACAATTTTCCAAATCTATACATATAATAAAATTTTAACTGAGTCTAATCTGTACATTAAATATTTTTTGGAAAATCTTATTAAAATAGTCATTGTTATCGACACAGAGACCGAAACTATACAAGTTTTCAGAATCTTTGTCTGTCTGTTTGTCTGTGACCACTGAACAGAAAACCACTGGACAGATTTTGATGAAAGTTGGTATGATGATAACTGGTGACCCGGATCAACATATGAAACTTAAGGATACTTTTTACCGCGGAAAAATATCTCATTTCTGAGAAATCTTTACTAAACGTTAAAACGTAACTTACATCCATAAGTTCCAAAAGTCTCGTTCACCATTAGTTTATGTTATGTAAATAATGAACCCTTTCAAGAAATATTACTTGTGATACGTTAGACGTAATGTACATTTTTTAAACTTTGAAATAAATGTATGTATAGGTATACTACGTTATATTTATAACATTAATTGAATGTATGTATGTTATTATATTTTACTATTATATTGGAAGATTTATTAAGGCTACACAATCTACATAAATCAGAAATGTTTTTCTCTACAAATTGCTTTTTACGACAGTAGGTACATAAATCTGTAAGTTTCGTTTCCGTATATTATTATAATATTTATACAGAACTAATACTTTTTCTTAAATTACTTTACTACGAGCATATATTGTGACTTTGTCCATATTGCATTAAAAAGGAAAAAAGCTATCATGGTAATCATCTGTATACCTGTATAAATATTATAAATGTGAAAGTTTGTATGTATGGATGGATGTTTGTTACTCTTTCACGCCAAAACAGCTGAATGGATCTGGATGAAATTTGGCACAGAGATAGATTATAGTCTGGAATAGCACATAGGCTACTTTTTACTCCGGAAAAATATACGGTTCCTGATAGATTTGTTTTTGTTTTTTTGATTGATTTGTTTTGATGCAAGGGTGAGCTGATCAAAGGGGTGATATTTTTAAGTTTTATTAATAAATAAACTTCATAAAACTCACAAATCCGTACCAATACTATTTTGCGGGAACCCCTTCCGTATTCCTAAGTGCAAAATAGCGACCGAAACCACTTTTAGAATGTGCAATCTTATTCTATTCTCTTCCCGCGAAAACCACATTTTCCAAGACAAAAATTGCTTTAAATTTTTCTTCCGCACTCTTTATCCACCAATTAACGTTCTCTTAAAATCTGTACAGTCCATTGTGTCCATTTGGAAATTTTATTTAGTAGACACGTACATACGAACAAATATAACACCTGTTTGGGCTTTAGTATAGTGCCTACATCCATATAATCTCAACATGTAACTATTTTGATATATACATTCAATATTTGATACACAATCAATTAAGTTAATTAAAAAAAAAACTTTCTATAATCTTATGAATATTTTATATTTTTTCTCACAATTAATCTTTATTTTTAAATTTTAGTGCAATATTTAATGAAAACATTTAATCCAAATTTCTAGCATTTTCATTATACAAAACCCACTTAAAGTTAATCTACATTTTATTAACGCTTCTGTTAATATCCTTAGAACCATCTATTATTGCCAATTACGTGTTTCAGTTTCAATTAGCTTTCACCCAAGTGTAATGGGATTTTCATTATCAAGACCTTATGTCAGCCATGTATAATTTATATTGTTCTACGGATACAATTAACTTAGGCACAATGAAATCTAGCTATGAGTAATTGCTACACGAGTTTGGTTAGAAAGCAAATGAGATGTTACCACAGTTTAATTGAAAATAATTTTTCTGTTCTTAATTCTTATTTTTTGTATGAACCTAATACTTTTTATAATCTATACTAATATTATAAAGGGGAGAGATTTTTTGTTCGTTTGTTTGTACCGAAAAAGCTCCGAAACTAATGGACCGATTTAGATGAAATTTGGCATAAGATTTGAGACTCTGCGAAGGACATAGGGTATTTTTTATTCCGGAAATCATCTCTTAAGGGGGTGAAAATGGGGATGAAAGTTTATATGGGGAATCGACAGTTTTATGTAATTATATAATGTAGATTCTTATCATTTGCATAAAACTTTTTGCCTATTCAGTAAGAGGTTGTAAAGATCTCGCGACATTCATACATATGTAGGTTTTACCATCTATATATATAAAAGAAAGTCGTGTTAGTTACTTCGCTTATAACTCAAGAACGGCTGAACCGATTTAGCTGAAAATTGGCAGGGAGGTAGTTTAGAGCCAGGAGAAGGACATAGGATACTTTTTATCCCGTTCGACCGCGTTCCAATTTTTATGATATTTTAATTTTTGGATTTCTCTTAGTCCGGAATAGGTAAGTATTAAAACATATAATTAAAATGTGAGAAAGAAAGATTTTTTCTTTTTATATCTATTTAAAACGTACCTAGCGACGAACCCGAGCGAAGCGAGGGTGAGCCGCTAGTTTCTTATATAGTTTTTTATATCATATATGTATGTTTACTAATAGTTAGCCAAATTTTCGCACGCCTGCTTTAGTGAGAATTCATATCATAGAAATACGCTGTGAACATTCTAGCTTTTAACGTCTATGCGAATGCGTCTGGGCGTTAATTATTCAGTCAGCTAATGAAGATATGCAATTTTATATAACTATACTATATATCTCCAGGTCATAGTCTATATTTAGGTATACAGTATTACTAAATTTTATCCAAATCCATTCAGCCGCTTCGGCGTAAAGGTGAAATGTTTATTAAATATTATTGCTTTAAAAAATTAAAGGAAAATTGTATGTGTGTGTTTGTCTTTACAAACAACACAGACATACAATTTTTCGCAATTATTATAGTAATCCGATAATAAATCAGCCCTCTGAACATCCCATTGTAGGGCTAATGTAGCCCACGAAGGGCTGGCCTTAATATGAGGCCATAGTCCACCACGTTGGTGAAATACGGGTTAGCAAACTTCACATGTCTTCCGAAAACTTGCTAGGTTTTCTCAGACATGCAGGTTATCTCACGATGTTTTTCTTCAACGTATGACAAGTGGTGATTATATTGAAAATGATGAAAATAGAGATACGAGAGGTGCGACACCCAGGGTTTGAACCCGCTTCACCTACTTTTCCAAGCGACTGCGTCACCACTGGGCCACCTACTTTACCGTATGGATACAAATAGGTACAAATAAATATAAAGTACACTACACTCACGTCAGCGAAGTTCAAGCGGTTTGCGTTTTTTCTAAACTCCGTCATGGCGTAGCGCTCTTTCATCTTGCGGACGCGTTTCCCGCCGCGCTTTTTGCGACTTTGTTCTATTGGCTTCGGAAGCGGCTTCACAAACTTTACTGGCGGAGGTTCCTGAAAAGAAATATACGCTTAGATCTTGATTCTTACTAGCGGCACACTACAATGGCTGTTCTGACAATATTAAGAATTACTATCGAAAAAATATAGTCGAAGTACTGGCTATGAGGTAGTCCCACCTCTAGTATATATTTTTACAGCCACTTACCACTAGTCTGTAAGAAGTACTAAGGTATGTAGCTATTTAGATTTAAAATATTAAATTATTACTTTTTTGTCACAAAATCATTGATAGATCGGTAAATTACCTGTAATTTTAAAAGGCGCACGTCAGGCATAAAGTACAGCAATTATTTCCTAAATATATGTTGTCAATTTTTACGAAACTATATGAGCGGGACAGTCGTTAAAACGGCCATGCTGCTAATATAAAATAACTATTGACCCGCTCTGACTTCGCCAAAGTGAGGAGTTTAGTCTAGAAGGTTTAATATCTTCTAAATTGCCCGACTTCCTTCCTTTGCATTGTTTCGTTTAGAGATAACAATTATTAATGGCCAGCTAATTTAGGATTTGAAGTATTGTTCAGAGATACAAAATTACTTGATGAATATTAAAAGATAATAAGCTGGCGAGGACATTCCTCATATTTCACGTACGTTACGTATTACGTAAGTTCGTATTTGCCATTCGACATTTAAAAGTCAATAATTCTGTACTAAAAAAACTCTTTCTATAAATTAGTCGTAACAAATAGGTAAGCACTGAGATAACAATTTATAATGTATATATGGAACCAACCCAGGTATAAAACATTCACTAAAAAAGGGCGGTTAAAATAAGAAAAAAAAAATTACCTGCAATTTATCCAATTTCTTTTCGATGCCCTCGCGCAGCTGCCGGCCGACGCCCCCGTCCGTGCTCTCGTGGCAAGCGTCGACTCTAGCGGCTAGTGTTAACTTCGTTGACACTAATTTTGCTGCTTTATACCGTAATTCCTATGAAAATAGGCAATACATTTTATATGTACACGTGAGTGTTATTCAATAAGTACTCACTGATTGAGTTTCATTTTGTTGCTTTTTAGATTAGATTCCACATTTACCAAGAAGGTTTAATAATGTACATTTTACAAATAATATTTTATAAATGATTGGGATTAATCATCACTTTCGAACGACTGGGCGGGTTTCAAAAACCCTTTTTTATTGTTTATAATAGCCTAAATAAAGTTTGGTATGGGAAAAAAATTAGTAAAGTTGCCAAAAAAATAGGGAAATTCGAACTAAATTAAAGTGTTTTTTTTCTATGGGATTTTTGTATCAACTCAAAGACTGTCAGATCAACTAATATAGGTATGAAAAAAATGTAATTTCATCACCTTAAAACATGCAAAAACCTTAACCAATACCTACACACACATCTACAGTATATACTGTAAGATATCTCAGGAAAAGCCAGTATCATGTTTCAAGATTTATATATTTTAATTTTTAACTACTTAAAGTTACAATTTATTACGAAACATTTATTCTCAAAAATTTCTTATTTCTATGCTCCAGTTAAAAATGACACATCGCATTCACCCAAGTCAACAACTACCCGCCGACAAATCCCGACTTTCGTTTATTTATTCTTTTTTAATCGAAATATTTTTTTTGACCTGGCCACTATCGTAATTTTTAACTGTCTGATTTATAAAGGCACCATAATTTGTGAGTTCGCGTTGTCAATGTGGCCAGTATAATAAATTTATTTTATTATACATTTATATAGCGAAACCATATCATACATATTTGTTTACAATTCTTGACAAGCATATTGGTAAAACATAATTTACATTTGCCTTACTATTAGTATTAGACTTACAATTAGTATAAACTAGCGACTCACCCTCGCTTCGCTTCGGGTTCGTCCCTAGAAAAAACAAATCTATCCCACGGGAACCGTACCTTATTCCGGGATGATATATAGCCTATAGCCTTCCTCAATAAACGGGCTATGTAAAAAGAATTTTTCAAATCGGATTAGTAGTTTCTGAGATTAGCGCGTTCAAACAAACAAACTCTGCCTCTTTATAATATTAGAATAGAAGTATATATTAACTTACTGGTGGTGTGTCTTGAACAATCTGCGAGAAATATATAAAACCAGTGTGAGGCAAAGACGCGGCTTGAGAAAATCCTGACAATGTCTTTCTTTGCTGGCCTAATGTCAATAAATTACAAGCAGGCATTTTAGATAGTTTTGATAAGCCACCCGCCACACCAAGAATTTTTGCTGCTGTTGATGCACCTAAAAACGTAAAAGACAATACAGTCTTTGGTCTAAAAACCTTTCTTTGTATCAAATGGCTTATAATAATTGATAAAAACAGATATTGGGGGGATAGGCACTGTATGCCGTAATACAAGTCTCCTAGTACGGCAACAGAGGCTACCATATCTTTTGTGTCGACACAGCCTAAACTAAGATTAGAAACTAAGATTGTTCCATATAATAATATATGTATGTTTGTTTTTTATGCAATATTCTTTAATTATTTATGTGTCATATTGCTCAATAAATTATTATTATTATATTATTTTGTATGGACAAGTAGCATTATTTTTTTTTCTTTCGTCAGTAACGAGACTTAGATCATAATTACAAGACTATGTAAGAAGTCATTAAAGAAATGAACTCGCCTAGTTTCTTTTTAAATAAACTTCTTACAGTGGTTCTAGTTATGATATATGTTTATTTACTGGTGTAAGTAAAAAGTCGCATACCCCTTTAATCATTATTGTTTAAAATAAATACATAGATGTAAATACTTTATTGCACACAGACAAATAATACAGAAGATAAAAAGAAAGACAGCAAAAAGGTATGCAAGGCAGGCAGTCCTATTGTTATGTGCAATCTCTTCCAGATAACTTTTGATAAAAGCAAACGAAACTGTAAACAAAATATATACAAGCTTAAAAATCTTATATTAAAAACCAATCATAATATATCATATATATTCCAATTCCCATAATCAAATCAATTTTTTAAAGGCCTAATAAAATGCCTCTCCTGCCTGCTCGCACTCAAGAAACCGAGTGAAGCTGGTTAAAATCCCTGGTCTAGCACCTCTTCTCTCTCTCTCTTCATATTTTCATACGCAAATCATTTCCACATGATTACCACTTGTCTTACAATGAAAGAAAATATCGTGCGGAAACCTGCATGTCTGAGAGAACATAGCAAGTTCTCGAAAGATATGTGAGCCTTACTTAGCCAGTATGATGGATTATGGCCTAACTCCCTCGTATTGAAGGGACTCCCCTGCCCAGCAGTGGGAAAAAAAAGGACAGAATACTATATAATTAGTATGGTATAGCAGTAATACATAAAAATCTATGACTGCCATTTTTATATAATTGTATTATAAACAGGGTACCTACCAACAATTGCTGTCAAATTAGGGGCTATAAAAGTCATTCTGCTCTCCACATATTCATATATCCTGGATTTAAAATTATTCAGCTCAGCGGCCATGTCACATGCTTCAAATATTTCACTTAGTTCTTTTTCGGACAACAGCTTCCTATATGAAATAGAAATAATAAGAATATAAACATTTGTTTAAGCTATGTATAAAAATATTATGTATGTGCATGGCATATCTATAGTATAGATTGATTGGGAAAACAAGATTTCCGACATTGACAAAGGTGAATTGTAGTCAACAAGTGCTAGTTAAAGCCAATATGAAAAATAACTACATAAATGATCTCTACCAAACTAACTTCATAAAAAATTTAGAACAATAAATAATGGTCACACTCACTGCAACTGCATAACATCAAGCATAATTTTCTTCTAGATACATATTTTATAGGGATACTTTATTTTTTACTATATGTTAAAACAAAGATGATATAAATATGTTGGGACATTAGCACACAGCACCATCTAGTTCCATGGTAAGCTATGAGGCTTGTGTTATGGATACCAGATAGTTGATACACTACACATATATAATTTTAAATACATACATATAAATATAAACACCCATGACTGAAGTACAAACATTCATGCTCATTACACAAATGAATGCCCCCAGAGAGACTCGACCCGTGACAGCTGGCACAGAAAGTAGCGTCACTACAAACTGAGCAAAACATATCTTCTAGTGACTACTAACTCCATTCTTATATTTTCCTCATAAAATAAGAAATGGGTGTTAGGTGGTGGCTTATATCAAGTTGTATTAAACCTAATAAACATCTGAATGGTCAATACAAAATATACAAAAATATACACATTCTTTATAAGATATTATAATACTATTTATATTTTAGCCAAGACCATAGTACCCCTGAGTTGTAGATGCAGTAACAGACACAATCATAATAGTTGCTTGTGTCAGAAAGCTTTGGAGGATCTCATTATTTTTAGCTCTATCCAAATCATTGCCCAATTCCTTCACACTTCTAATGTATTCCAATGGAGTAATAATCAAAGACTCCAGTTCTGGGAACCTCTTCTGGTATTTATCCCGAACAAATCTGTGAATAATAGCTGCAAAGTGTAATATGTCTTTATAGTTAAGTTTTTTTTTATTGTATGATAGGCTTGCACTTGACTACTATCAGTGCTGGGAAGCACTGATGAGGTCTAGGTTGGAGCGTGCTTAAGAACAATGAAAAAGCTTCTAAACTTATTGAATATCATATTTTTGTCATAGATATTGTAGCTAAATTGAGCATTTTAGTTTTTTTTTATTGAATTGATGAGTCAGTACATAAAATAATATAGGCATGTAAGTTAAGCATATTACATACGCATATTGCATTTAATTCAGTGACTTTGTGTTTAAATAACTTATTTACAGTCTCATTCTAAATATGAATAATACTAGTTTGATAATAATATAAGTATAGCTTCAGTTAATATGTGCATTTAGTACAAACTTACCGATTTCTCCATCTATTTCCACTGCTATGTTATTGGCTTCTACAATTAACTGATACTCTGGATCTGATTCCATTAAGCCAGTTACTTCTATTTTCTTCCTGTCATTACCAACATTTTTTTCAATTTCAGTAATTACCTAAAGAAGAATTTTTCACATTTTTGTTACATGACTTAAAGTTTTATGATAAATTACATGTAGATATCTAGAATAAGTTAAAATACTCTTAAGCAAAATATGTACATCTAGTACAAATATTTACCCTTTTTAGACGATCTGAATCTCTTAGCTTAGCTAGTTCACGAATAGATACATTTTTAATTTCTTCCTCTTTTGGTATTACAGGAAACGGCACAGCAAATTCATGTGAACCATTGTTTGCATTGTTATGTTCTATAAGAGCTTCTAATTCTCCGTCATCATTCTCCTCTAAGTCAGCTAATAATTCATCGGCTAGAGACATATTGAAGTATTATAAAAGTATTTTTATTTTATAATAACTATAAGTTCTGTTCACATTTGGTCAATAGAGATTGAGAATGATAGAGAAGAGAATACATAAAAAATAATAATAATTAATAAACGTCAAGTCGATTTATCATGACAGAAGACACACTGTCACTTCATTGGTCATTGACACAGTCACAGGCGGCCAGGCCCCGGTCCCCGACCACAGATTAAGTAAGGACAAAAGGACATAGCATAGATTAAACACACAATATACAAACGAAATCAAGGGATCCCACAGGTTTGTTGTACCTACCCTACCCCAGCCTGCAAATTTATGATATTTGCAATGAAAAAAAATACTAATCGATAGATTTTCAATAGCTCAATTTAACTACGTAGCCCTTTCAAATTGCTCACCTTTAATTATTTAATTAAAAATCAATAAAGTCTTTGAAAAAAAATTAATTTATCTGTATATTCAAACTCCTATATCTTTTGATGTATACAATATTTCAAATTGCTCAAAGTTCTAAAACACTGCTCAAGTTGCATTTGTAATTGCTCAAGTAGAGTTTTTACCAGCTCCAGTTTCGCTGATTATTAAATAATTAAATGTATAGTTGTAATAAATGTAACGTAGGTTAAGTGAGCGTGCGCATGCGCACCGCGCATTGTCGGTCGGCCTCGGCGGGCTTGGACAATCGTTCCAATTCAACGTCTTAATTCTGTTTCTCGGTGGATTTCTTTAAATTTATTGAATTTATGAATTGTTCACATTACGTGATTCCACTTCAGATATTATAACATAAAGAACAGATCTGGAATCTACCAATAAATGAAAATTAAATCTTAAAAATCTTATGTTCAAATGCTTATTCTATTAAGATAATAGCCATGACAGGGATCATTAGTAAAATGTTATTAACATCAATACAAGACGGAACTTTTTTTATTTTTAAATATACATATAGTTTAATGACATTTTTATTTCAAAGAAACAAACTGCATGAATATAAACTGCCTTTAATATAAAGGAATTTTGAACTCTGATCAGCAATCAATAATTTAATAATACTGCTGTTTGCGCGCATGCGCAGCACTCACCTATCTATACGTTAAATTTATTCAAACTATTTATATTTATTTAATAATTAAGGAAAGTGGAGCTGGTGAGAACTCTACTTGAGCAATTACAAATGCAACTTGAGCAGTGTTTTAGAACTTTGAGCAATTTGAAATATTGTATACATCAAAAGATATAGGAGTTTGAATATACGGATAAATGATTTTTTTTTTCAAGGACTTTATTGATTTTTAATTTTATAATTAATGGTGAGCAATTTGGAAGGGCTACGTAGTTGAATTGAGCTATTAAAAATCTATCGATTAGTATTTTTTTCATTGCGAATATCATAAATTTGCAGGCTGGGGTAGGGTACCTGTTTGTTGTGTTAATATTTTTTAAGTAAAATAATTTTATAAATTAAATTTTTACTGATAAATTAAAAATATAAATTTTCCAGCTAGCCTTAGATATGTTTCTACGAAGAAACTCGTTTTTAAACTATGTCTTACAATAAGCCAATCTTAGAGTAAACATAATATATACACTCTAAGAAGCCAATAGCCACCAAAACTGACCATAATAATATGTACAATAAAAAATGAAAACGAATTTATCAAAGTTAAACTTAGAATAATTAAAGAAGTCTTATATATATATATATATATATATATATATATATATAGACTAGCGACTCACCCTCGCTCCGCTCGGGTTCGTCCCTGTGGTGGGGTCTGGGAGGACCACCCTTATCCTTATCACTTAGGGGTATGGAAAATAGATAGTAGCCGATTCTCAGACCTACTGAATACGCATATAAAATTTGGTAAAAATCGGTAAAGCCGTTTCGGAGGAGTACGGTAACAAATATTGTGACATGGAAATTTTATATATAAGATAAAAAACGCTTCTAGGCGTGCTCAAAAGATTAAGTTATTTTTTTTAATAAGTCAATGAATCATCAACATAAAGATAAATGGCAACACCAATAACCGCTTGCCATTTTTGCTGTGTAAAAGCCTAAAAGGTATGCTAAAAGGTCCGCAGAGGCCTGGGTTTTCGCAGCTAAAGTGATTTCTAGATAATTTGCTGATATTTGGGACTAACAAGTCGTCTAAATGGCGCTTAATCCACAGTACGATGAAATTGGAAAAGGGTTTGTTCAGCAATATTACACATTGTTCGATGATCCGGCACAGCGACCAAATCTGGCAAATATGTACAATGTGAGTACCAAATTAAAACTAATAAGAAAGAAACAAATATGTCATAGTTTAAAAAAAAATGTCTGGATTATTTTTGAAAATATGTGGCTTAAAATATTTTGAGGTTAAAACAAATAGCCTCCCGCCGAAATAATGTCACTGTAAGTTCTATATTTTGATTAGTATCAATCAGTGCGTTAAGTAATGTCAAATACAATTTAAGAAACTGTAAGCTGAGATCATATAAAAATAAATACAGAACGTATATGTAATTTACAAATTATTTGATCTACCTAGTTCATAATGCAATATAATTTCAGGTCGAGACGTCGTTTATGACCTTTGAAGGTGTTCAATTACAAGGTGCTGTAAAAATAATGGAGAAACTAAACGTGAGTTTAAAAGTATATAAACATATAAGAAACTCTAATAATAAGAATATAACTATACAGCTAAATTAGTTTAAAAGACCTATTATATTAAATAATATATATTCTTTATTATATCTTAATTATGGCAAACTAATCCATACATAACATCTTTATTTAGAAATAGGTACAGCTTGTTTTTAAATTTTGCTATTTTATTTCAGTCCATCTATAATAATATAGGGGTAAAATTTGTGACATTGTAGGGCGTAATCTCTGGATCTACTGAACCGATTTAGATGAAATTTGGTAAGAAGGTAGTTTTAGCCCCTGGAAAGGACATAGGATTCTTTTTTATCCCAGAAATCACCCCTTACAGGGGTGAAAATGGGAATAAAAGCTTGCATTGGGAAGCAAGCTAGGGACGAACCTTAGAGAAGCGAGGGTGAGTGGCTAGTGTAATATAAAAGCCATGCATTTTTCAATGTCAATTTGATTACTATAATAAATAATTGATAGATAACACAATTTTACAAGGCATTAGGCAAATAATAAAACTTAATATATCACTTATTGGTCTAATTATTTTTTAATGAGTATTCAAATTTAAACAAAAATTATCTATTCTAAGTTTTATGATGATATATTGCAAAGTTCATTCTTAAAATTTGCTTAATCAGTCCTTAATTTAACTACTTTCAGAGTCTTACATTTCAAAAAATTGGTAGACTTGTGACTTCTGTAGACTCACAACCTATGTTTGATGGTGGTGTCCTAATTAATGTTCTTGGCAGATTGCAGGTGAGTTTGACAAAGATATTTGTTTTATATTATCTTACATATTATTGATTTTAGGATAATAATATATATATTAGTTATACATATTCTTATAGTATATGAGCGACAAGTTACTCTATATATACATATAATTTATAATAATATAATTAATTTATTGTTTTTAAAATAACATTTTACATAAAATCAACTACACAGCACGATTGTTTGCAGATGTTTATTATTATGAATATTAAATTTAATAAGAAATATATAATAATGTTTAATGCAATACTATCCTCTAAAACAAGCTTGTATATTAAAGAATAACTCTACCCTACCATATTTTATTTTTGTAGTACTAACTTAGCTTACTTACTTTACTACTTAACACCTTGCTTTATATAAGAAAGCTTAAAAATATATAAATATTAAAGCAAAAGAAGTCTAAAAAATAAATTGCTGTTTGAACAGACAGATGAGGATCAGCCACATGCATACTTCCAAACTTTTGTGTTGAAGCCCATAGGAAACTCGTTCTATGTAGAACATGACATGTTCAGGCTGGCACTTCATGATGTTTAAGGGTAAATTGCTTGAAAAGCATGTGTATGCCCTGTTTTATTTGCAGCTTGCACTGTTAATAATAATAAAATCAATTATAATAGTATTGCACTTTTTAATAGTGTTGCCATTAACATGTAGTATTAATGCATTATATGAAAAATTCTTATTGTAACAGCAGCAGAAGTGATATATAAATTATAAAATTTTAAGTTGTCCCGAAATATAACCATGTTACTAAATAATATATTATCAATCTAGTCTAAACTCTAAGGACCAATCCACATTATAGTGCTGATCACTGTTCACTCTCGGTCCGATATCGGTCTGATAAAGTATACAAGAATGTTTTACAAGAAACAATGAGGGCATTCACACGAGTTACATTCCGGTCAAATCACACGCTAGCAATGTTTCTTGTATAAAAAAACTTTAAAAGGCCTATATTGCACCAACAACTGACTGTGATTGCCACTATAATGTGGTTCAGCCGTAAAAATGTTTGTGAAATGTTGTTGTTATGCTAATTACTACAGTAAAAATAGAATCTAACTTTGCACTAAATATCCGATCCAATCTTTTTATTTTATAAGGTTTAGGATCACTTACTGAGTATAAAATCACAAAATGCTGACAGATTCCGGTGGAGCTTCAGGAACCATATTGAAAAAACTTTTTTGGCTGATATCTCGGAAACTATGCACTTTAGGGCAAAAGTTATTAAAACTATTTTTCTAGAGAATAAAATTTCGGATCTTTTGTTTCCTCAATTTTTTTTGTAAAACTTATCGTTTACGATTTATGGCCCATTTAATAAACGATTCTTCTATCTCGGCCGATAACTCTTAAAATATTGGTTTAATCAATAAAATGCATCTATCCATATTTAAACATCTATTCTCTACAACATTTATTCTCTACAACTTTTGTTTAAAACATTTTTTTCTAATGTCCATAATTTTTGAGCTTTGAACAGAAACTATTTGCAGAATGTATTATGTATATAAAGCATAAATTACATATTTCAAACAATACACATAGCATGATTACAATAACGTTCACATAACTTTCAACTTTGTTACTAATTAAGTAATTATATGTATATTAATATATTTTTTTGTTTATATAATAGAATATTTCACAGCTAACCTTTTGCGAGTTGATAACTGTATCAAACAAGTAATTAATTAGGTTCATTGACATTATCTCTAGAATAATAAAAACACAAAAAGTAGTCTTAATTAGTTAAAAACTATCATTTGTGTTATAAATCTATTAAAGTTTCATTTTATAAGTATGCGGATTTTGTGTACAATTTCATGGGTTTTAATTTTTCTATGTAGAACCCTGATTCTTTTTGTAAAATAAAAGTAGCCTAATTTATTCGTTATAACATGAGCTATCTGCTAGTGAAAATCCCGTCAAAATCGGTCCAGTCGTTTTGGAAATTAGCCGGAACAAACAGAGAGACAGTTTTTTTATTACTATCATATATAATTTCATATGCATTTAGTAAAAGTTGTTATTTTGACATTATAAACAGACACTGTATCTGTAGAGATAAAAGTATCTAATATAGTAGCTCAGTAGCGAATATAAATCAGTCGGGTACAAGGTGGTTGAAACAATTAGCCTAGTTGCGATTTACTCTTGGCCAGTGTTGTTTTTTACTCTTTAATTTTTGAGTTATTATCCCTATAAGTTATTATAACACTTGTTACACGTTTCTTTTTATCACTTCACTTTTTATTTATAGGGAAAACCTTGTAATAGTAAGCCAAAGAATTATTTCAAGACAGCATGGGCTTAATATTAGTTCTGTGGCCCTTATGGTGCAACCTTATTATTGTTACTGACAACTCACATTAATTTAATAGATATTTTGTATTATCATATTACTAATGCTTCTAGGACTTTTACCTTCACATATATAATACATATTTCAAAGTGCTCAGAAAGCTCGATTTTCGATCGATCAAATCGATTCGATCGACTTAATTCAACTACTATATTGATAGCTTATTTTGGTAATATATTCATAAAATATAGTCGATAACCTTTCTTGGTAATCCCTCGATATATTAGTCCAAACCATACGAAAATCCGTGCAGTAGTTTTTAAGATTAAAAACAAACAAACTATATTATCTAATATACTTATAAAATTTATCTTGTCGTGGCGTTTGTGGTCACACTCCTCCGAAACGGCTCGAATGATTTTAATGATTATTTTTTTGTACATTTGGTATGTATGAGAACTGATTGTATAGTATTGTTCACCCTTCTACCAAACCCCCTATTTTTATTTTTACATTTAATATTTTTCTATAAACAATATAGCATAAAGCAAAAGAGTTTTTTGTTTAGTAGATTGAACGCAGGCGAAGCCGCGGGTTGTGCTTATATAACTATAATATTTATTTAATTGTTCCAGTGCGACGACGACCCACCACACCCTTACATGCAGACGTTTGTTTTGAAGCCTCTCGGAGATTCTTTCTTTGTACAGCACGACATATTCCGCCTCGGCATCCACGACGTCGCCTAAACTCATAATATCTGAGCAATCCACGGGATATGACTAATATGCTAATTTCCATCTTGTTTTGGTTATCTAGGTATAAGCTAGTTGGTCACTGCCCACTAAATTCAAATTGTAAATTAAATAATAATATTTGGCATTATTCGGCTTAGATGAATTATCGAGATGGCTTTAGTCATGTAAAGACGAACTTTCAGTTACATGTATACATTTTATAATAAATACATTATTTTTTAGTTGTCTTGTTTTATTGATATTTTTTTTTGGATATTTTGCGGCCATCATAGGCGATTAAAAGTAGATACAATGCAAGAGGTTAGTCGAATCAATTCGAAAAAATGAATGTGTGTATTTAGGTTTAATTATTTTTAGTTTTGACCTAAATACTTTTTTTTGCAAGAGATCTCCGAGTACAGTTAAGAGCCTATACACGAGTTTTCAAACCCGCGTTGGTGGCGCGTTAAAAAATCGTGTGTATAGGCCTTTACTTTTTGCCTATAATCAAGGTGCATGTAATATTAATTTTTGCTGTTCCTTGAAATACTGTTATATTTATCAAAAAGCTTATATATAGCTTATCCAGCTATATAGTTATGTCAAAGACCTTGAGAGTGATTTAAATAAATGAAACAATCATAGATGCTAAGACAATCATGTATTTAAATAATAAATAGTCAAAAATTAACAAAAGAACCAATGAAAACAGGTACATTTTTTTTTACCAATCTCAATTTAAAGACTTGCAACTTTAAAATCCTTAGTCGCTACGAACACTTAAAAAGTATTTGCATGCACTAATATGAAAAATATACGCAGTTTCGTAGACATTAGTTATTTTAATTGAATGACTAGGTTGCTACTTGCAAGACTGAGTCGAAACTTTTGTGTCTTCCTTCACGTTTGTTTCAGATTCCTTTTATTAGCAGTTCATTATTATGCAAATATGGCGTATTCCGAGATTGTTTATTCGATAATGACATCTAGTAACTACTGCTTACCAGAAGCGTTACGTAATTGTTAGATATTGGATATGATAATGTATGGAATCTTTAATATTTAACAAACTATATTGAATATTATTAAACGTTGAAGTATGGAAGAACTACTTTTTTAAATATATATAAAAGAAGCTGCTTAAATGAAATAATCTTACAAAATAACAATTCAAACTATCCAATACCCAACAATTACATTTACAATACAACAATAAAGTAATAATTTTACAAAACTAAACATTTCTGGTATACAACTGCTAAAAGGAACACAAGGTACAACAGGTACTATCTATCTTAGGATGTTGAAGACTACAAAGCGGAGATCAAGTCAGACATGGCAAGACCTTTGGGTCGTAATGATATTTGTACATAAGCCATTTAGCCTCTTTTCCATAGTACTGTTCTGTTAAATGTAGTAAATATTAGTTATATAACACAACCTGCCATTGTATTTGTTGTAGCATCGCAATATATATACGTTATTGATTCAAGACAAGTATTAGTACAGAATTAAAATAATTATACACTTCACTATAGCGAATAATGGTCGGTTGATGGATTTAAAACCTTAGGCTGAAACTATTAAGGATCAATTTCACTTAAAATATTTAATTCAGCTGCACTGAAGATCATTTTTATTCCAAAAAAAAACTATATATATATATATATATATATATATATATATATATATATATATATATATATATATATATATATACTCGTCAATTCGTATCTCGTGGATGTAGAATTAATATACATTAGTTCCATTTCATTTACATTACATAAGGTCTTATATCTTGACAACATAATGTTCCGTCTAACATTCACCACACCCTTCCATTCAATTCAAATGAAACAATATTCATATTTCCTTACCCATATTTGAATTGCAATCAGATATATACTTTCACTTATTGTTATTCAACATATTATAAAATAAGCAGCGAGTGAATAAAATTATAATTGAACATATTATATTGTAGATATTGATCTGCAAATAATGGGGATTGAATATACTCATGTAATAACGTGCAATGTACTGACTTCAATGAAAGGAATCAGTTTATTTTTTAATTATATAATCATTTTTTATATAATTTCTTATCTATTAAACTGCAAAAATATATGAATCTGTTATTTATTATTGACCAAAATAGTACTTAGTTTTAAACTTCCTATTCTATGAAAAGTGTATGATTATATTTAATGTATTATAGTAGGGGAGCCCAAGAGGGGAGGTCAAGTACCTCCATTATATATAAGTCCTCTGTATATGTTCGCGTCTAGGGCAGCCGATTAAAATATAAAAAAAAACCATAAGTTAGAAATACTTGAGCGCGACCGACTAAGGTGTGATGGATTAATTACATGTTAAAAAGTGTGCATTTTATTAATCTGCCGATTTCCATAAGCCGAAGAAACGAAAATCGTCCATAAAGTCCATGATACTCAACAGAGTGCAAGGTTAAATAGCCGCGCTTGGGTAAATCCCAAAATCCCCCCTTGGGCTCCCCTACTATTAGGGTTATTTATTATAAGCAAAATTTAATAGAACAGTACTACACGATCCTCGCCATAGGTATCGATAGCGATAAACACTATTAGTAACATTAGCATTGAACGTCACTAGCATTTGCGCTTAGCAAGCGATTAAATGTTTCTTAATTAAACCTGAGTTTAAAATCTTACAAGTTAAATTTTGAAAGTCACAACCTTAACTAAAAATGTACAAATATATCTAAATTATAAATAGTTTTAATTTTAACAAATGAGCATAAGTTAAGTTAATTAGCATTAACAATTAGGGATCTCGGATGTTGGTGACGACGAAGTAATTTTTATGTACTTCAGATTTATAAGAACTTTGATAAGAATCGATTTTTTGTAAATATCAATTTTAACTATCGCTTTTTTAACAATATGCTGTCATTAATCGATTTTTACGTTTCACTATTTTATACAAGTATTAGTTTTGGTTGTAAGTAAAAAGCAACAGAATCTTGTTAGGTCCGAGACTAAAAAAATATTTTTGTCAAAGTTATTGCGAATGTCAAACGATTCAAGTTATTCGTCAAACAAACTAAAAAATATATATTTAAGGTCTCTTTTAAACTATCGAGCTTAGATTTACAATATTCATACCATTGACAATTTTAAAACATAACACATATCGTTAAAACAACGCACAACCCTGTTGAAAAACTCCAATAGAATCCCATCAAAAGCGACAAAAGCCACATAGAAACCAATAAATATTTATGGGAATATTGATGGGATCCTATTGGAGTTTTAAAATAGGGAAGTTGTACAATAATCTAGAACTTTTACATTTGTTTTCATATTAATGTGAGTTTTAAATTCATTCAACAGTTTGAAATAACGAAGCGAAGTTTGATATTCAGTTAGGCACTTTGTGGAACACATTCAATAATATTTGTACTACATTTATAAACTCACAGTTACATATCAAGTCCAATATTTCATTCCAATGTTTAAGCAAGTTTGTGTTAATTACATTGGAAAATATAATGTATATATATATATATATATATATATATATATATATATAGTTAAAACAAAATGAGATGATAAACAAAACTGATCCTTATTGACATAACATTTATGGTCAATTTTCAATAAGAACAAACCTTTGTTTATTTCTGATAAATATATATCTATATAAGAAATAAGAATTAGTGTAACTATTGCTTTGCATTTTCAACTTCAATAACAATAGAGATCCCTACACAGGACATATGATCCTAAAAAAATCGATCCAAGAGGGTAATAGGTAGGAGTAGGGTTTTAAATAAAATAAGCCTTAAATACAAAAAAAATCGACAATCACGTTTTAGTTGAGCATTTATCAGTAAGTACTTTTATAGGTGTCTCGAATATGCCACGAGTGTTAGTTTGAATTAATTTTATCAACTACTTAACATAAGATAAATGTATATTTATGTTATATAATCACTTAAAAAATCTATTTCTAAATAACATTTATGAAAAAAATAATTGTTTTTCTACTAATATTGGTTATTCAGAAGAAAATTAAGCTACAAAGTTAATAATTAAAAATGCAAAGAAAAGAGTGCAAACAATCTTTCAATTTAAACCATACCCAGGTTAAAGGAATTATTTCACACAATAATGTTACATAGATACAAAATTTTATGCGCATCTGATATATTTCTGATATATTACGAGAATGTTAGTGCAAAATTTAACAAGTTTTGAGGTAATTTTATGAAAAAGACAGACATATATATCTATATCATATTTGTACATTAACAGGTATACAGAAGAATAAAACATCACTATTGATTGTCAGACTATCTATTACCGAAGAGGTAATATCTAATAAAAATAATGTTTCCAATTAAAAAAAAAAACAAACATTTTTTGAAAGTCAGGATGAAGAGTTAGGACAATTTATATGGTAAAAATAAAAATTTTCATGTCGGGGAAAACCCTCTGTATTACATAAACATTTGTGACGATATTGTTATTAAATAATTTACTCCATTAGAAAAAAAGGTAATCTAAGAATAATTTAAACTAATTAACGTACTGAGAAAACTAACCCGCGGCTCGAAACTATTACCTAAGTCACCCACAACATGTACAAACTATTTTAGAACGTAAATCAACTAATCAATTAAATTAAAAATAAAAGAAAATAAATAAAATCAGTGAGATGACACAGTGTGACGTTTTACAATCGCTATCGCTATAGAAAATTCATATATAGAAATGACATATCTAAGCGTTATGTCACGTGACCAGCATCATTCCCATACATATATTTATCTATTAGCGATATCGTTCGTAGATAGCCAACGTGTGTACTAACATACTTGTATAGGTTGTAAACTCAGGGTTATTCGGGTGTTTGTTTAAGATCCTCCTTTCTTCCGGCCGCGGGCGCCGAGCGCCACGCCCCGCAGCGAGCGCATCGCCATGGCGCGGTTGAAATGCCTTTGTGTTTTGTGCTCGTCCGCGTCGTTGCCGTTGTCTACCGACGACAGTATTACTAGTAGCACGCCCATTACCTGCTCGATAGGAATTAATTAATATTAGATATATCTATATATTAAAGCAGTGCAGCCCGGTGGTAATGCGCTCACTTGGGAAAATGAGTGAAGCGGGTTCGTATCCCGGGTTACGTACCACTGATATTTTCATGTGCTAATTATTTCCAACATGATTGCCACTTGTCTTACGGTGAAGGAAAACATCGTGAGGAAACCTGCATGTCTGGGAGAACCTAGCAAGTTTTCGAAAGACATGTGAAGTCCGCCAACCCGCACTTGGCCAGCGTGGTGGACTATGGCCTGATCCCGCCCGTACTGACGGGAGGCCCGAGCCCAGCAGTAGGATGTTAAAAAAGAGCTGAATACATATTGTATTATGTATATTGTTTATTTTTTGTTGAACTGCTGATGTATATATAGTTGATATAACTAAAAATTTATCTTTTTAAGTTTCTTTTCATTGTAGGAATCAATAATTAAATACGTTAATAGCAAAAATGTATCTTTAAAAATGGATACGGTATGTAATTCACTCAGGAAATTAACCCTAAGCTCAGCAGATCACTTCCGAAGAAAGTAGGACAGCTCATGATATAAATTCCACAGGAGTTCGTTATCACCTCGTACCACAATATATTTACTTTTCAAAATAAAAAAAATATATATTTTCAAATCCAAATTCGATTCACAACGTCAACGATTCAACGATTGCCCATAAATTAAAAAATGATGTGTTTACATTTACACATGGTAGATCAATATCAGGAGTAGCGTAATTATAATGTTTAATTTTTTTTATAATATTTTTACCAAGTTTAAAAGTTATTTTACATTTTATTTGACATAAATATAAATTTGTTAGTAAGTAACAACGGTTACCATGGCAACATGGCAATGTATTCATTCTCTCGTCGGCTTAATTCTATATATTTATGTATTTGTCTCTTTTCACTATCGCATTTCCGTTTCATCGAGTTGTGATTTTAAACAACGATTCTAAAGAAGTTTCACTTCAAAATAAACTTTCCCATACCCTCCTATTTGCAAGTGGGTAAAAATGATAACGATTATAACAAGTGAGCAGTGAGCACTGACCAAGCAAACAATGATGAGCAGCGTGTAGACGTGCACGGAGGCGTCGGGCAGGCTCTCGATGTCGCGCAGCGCCAGCGCCGCGGGCGCGAAGTCCGGCCGCAGCTCCAGCGCGTGCTTCAGGTGGATCGCCGCTTCCTGTTCGTGGTGGGATCCATACTAATATTATAAATGTGAAAGTGTGTTTGTTTGTCCTTCTTTTAAGTCGAAACGGAGAGACGGATAGGCGTAATTTTTTGTGTGGAGAACTGAAGAGTGACATAGGCTACTTTTTACCGCGGGAGATTATCTCTTTCTCACGGGAAAACACATTATAATACGACCCAAAAATTATTTACGATCAGAATTAATTGAAACTTGGTATTATTGCCCTTTAATAAAATTAAATAAATACGTGTTTTAGCATTTTTCGAAATTGATCCTATAAGAGGGTAAAATAGGGGATGAAAATTTGTATGAAAATAGTTTTTAGAGATTTCTTTATAGTTTTCAGGTTCTGCTAGTTAATATTACAAATGTGAAAGTTTGTGAGTATGTATGGATGTTTGTTACTCTTTCACGCCAGAACGGATCTGGATTAAATTTATCACAGAGATAGATTATAGTCTGGAATAACACATAGGCTACTTTTTATTCCGAAAACATGTACTGTTCCCGTGGGATAGGTTTGTTTTTGTTTTGCTAGAGGCGAACCCGAGCGAAGCGAGGTTGAGACGCTATAATATATAAATGGTACGCAGCGATATGCAGTGGTAACGCGCTCGCTTAGTAAAGCGAGTGAAGCGGGTTCAAATCCCGGGACTAGCACCTCTGATATTTTTATGTGTGAATAATTTCCAAATTGTAAAATAATTATTTGAATTGAATTAAAGTAATTGGTAGTTGTAATTCTGATATAAAATACTTATACTTCTTAAGTTGTCATCTTGAGTGAAAGAAATGGGCGCGAAAAGCGCTGTCCCGTTTTATTATTTAATGAAATTCGTCATTCATTACCATAACATTGTTTGAGACATTACTCTACCTTTTCTGTACAAAATAATAAAAACTGTGTACCACATCGAATTGAGTTGGCCTACCTGACCTACTTTTTGAAATTCTCCTGTAAATATAAATATACATATAAGTATAATAGGTACCTGATAATGGCCATACGCTTTGAATATCTCTCCGAGCGTGAAGTACTGCTGCCAGGTGCTGCGGTCGGGCGGCTGCACCTCCAGCGAGCGCCGCGTCAGGTAGATGGCGTCGTCCAAGTACTGCAGCGTGAACAGCACGCGCGCCAGGTTTAGTAGAACCTGTTCGTATGGATTATATCATTTTATCTATATCTAAAATTATAACCACATACCACTAGAAAAAGAAGTAAAATCTACATGTCTGAGAGAATTTAGTAAATTTTCGAAAGAAACGCGTACTCCGCTAACCCACACTTGACCAGTGTAACTGTGTAGTTAACTATGGCTTGATCTCATTCGTACAGAAGAGAGGTCCGTGCTCAGCAGTGGGACGGTAAAAAGGGCTATGGTTAAAATTAATCAATATACTCATAATACTTACTCAGAAACCATGAAATTATTGGAAATGAACATGTACCATTTTCAGTAAAAATTGGATATTAGATACATCCAACTTTTACTATTAAAGACAAATAAAATGAATGATAATCTATTATTATTTATTTTAACCTACCTATTTTTTTATCTTTTGAGGATCTCATACTGAAAAATATTAGTTTTAAGGTAATAACGCATACATATTATGTATAACAATAAGTTTTTCATAACTTTTAACATAATCCGGGAAAATATTAAAAATCTATAATAATCATCCCGATTCGCGCGCCGATATCCGTCGCTAGTGCACGGTTCGTTGGCAGTCTTTTCAAGCGTCAATAGTATCTTATCGTTTTATTTTTGTAATTCTACCCCCATGTTGGAATATTGCGATAATGGATGAATTTAACGAAAGTAACATAATTTTATTGTGTTCAAGTGATGTTGAAGAGGAGTCCATATTGAATAGTGATAATTGTGAGCAACTAGTGGAAAAGGAAGTATTGGCAACAAGTATGGCGGAATCCCGCCCTGTAGAGAAAAGACAAAGACAAAACAGTGACGACACGGAAAATGAAAATGAAGAGTTTATTACGGTACAGAGACGGAGTAAACGCATACATAGAAGTTCGTCTAGCAATGATGAAATATATGAAGTGTGCTTATCTTCCAAACAGGCCTTACCTAAACAAATAGGTATGGCTAAGTTAATGAAATCATTAAACATTAATAACATACTTAGTATTAAATTCAAAGGTCCCTACAAGGCATTTATAAGATTTAGTAATAAAAATGATGCTGACCAACTAATAAATTGCCAAAAATTGGTGGAATTAGAGTACAGATGTCAATCGACCAGTGAAGTTCAAATTATTTACGGTGTTGTTAAAGATGTAGACTTAGAGACGGAAGAAAAGGAAATATTAGACAATTTTTATTGTGATTCTCAAATTGTAAGCATGAGGAGGTTGCGGAGACTAAATGATAAAAATGAATGGGTTTTAAGTACAACAGTTCGGTTGGGCTTTAAGAGTTCTACCTTACCCCCGTATATTTTAGGATACGGGTGTCGGTTTAAGGTTGAGCCATACACATTTCCAGTGTCACAATGTTCTGGGTGTTGGAAGTTCGGACATTTGAGTAGATCTTGCCCAACGAAAAAAATCATATGCCCAAAATGTGGACAAGACCATGAAAACTGTGAGTCTAAAGATTTTATTTGTTTAAATTGCAAAGGACCCCACATGGCTCTGGATAAAAATTGTCCTATGTTTGTAAAAGAAAAGAAGATTAGGGAAATAATGTGTCAGAATAGTCTTACTTACAAAAAGGCTCTTGAATTTTACTGTCAGCATACAAGTAAGGAAGTGGGATTGACAGAAACACAAGAAATACAAAATGATTTGCATAACAGTGTCTTAGTTAATACAAATAAAATTTTAGAGACTAGATCATATAGAGATGTTTTAATTACAACAAAACAAATGCCAAGTATTGAGGAGCACGAAGATATGTCAAATGATGTAGAAGAAATGAATGATGATGATACTGAAGGTTATTCAAAGAATCCATGTAGTTCACGAGGTAATAAAAAAAAGAGAATAGAAAAAAGAATTCAATTATAGTTCAAAATGTAAATACTGACGACACTAATTATCTACACACCGAGAAGTCAGCATCCTCTATAGAATTGAACAATAACCAGGATGTAGAGAAAGACAATTTAAATAAATTTAAAGATTTTTTCAGGAAGCTGAAAGAAATTATTCTATCGAAGAGAGACTTTAAAGAAAAGATATGGGATGCATTCTACTTAGTGATAGAAGAAATTTGTATCTCATTTCCATCGTTGAGAAAAGTAGGTGAAGTGATTAAGAGAATGTTATCCTTCTTTGATGGATAATATAAGGATAAAGGATTTCTCTGTAAATATTTTACAGTGGAATTCTCAAAGCTTAAGGCCGAAACTGACAGAGTTTAAAGCTCTACTTTATAGAGAAAATATACATATCGCCATAGTAAGTGAAACATGGTTACAGCAAGGCTCAAATTTAAATATTAGTCAATATAACGTTTATAGACATGATAGGGTTGACTCATATGGGGGTGTAGCAATTATTACACATAAGTCTCTTAAAACCTTTAAAAGTTCTATTAATGTTAATAATATTGGTATTGAATTAGTGCATGTTAAAATTATGAACTGTAAATTGTTGAAAAATATAGTTTCTGTCTATTGCCCCTCTAGTGTTAATACAAGTCAAGCCAATTGGGATAGCTTATTTTCTTTATTTTCCAAGTGTACTATAATCGCGGGAGATTTTAATGGACAACATACAAGTTGGTCTGATAACATAGACTCTAGAGGAAATCAATTGTTCGACAGCTCACTACAGTATGGTTTTATATCTATTAACGATAAAAGCTATACCAGAGTTAAATTTGTTAACGGATCACTACAACAATCGGCACCAGATATTACTTTTTGCTCTACAGATATAGCTATGAATTTAGATTGGACAACTATTAATGAAAATTTAGGCAGCGATCATTTAATGTTAAAGTATACTCTCCGTTATAAAGATAAGTTATCGTTTACTAAAAAAAGGAACTATAAAAATGCTAATTGGATAGAATACAAAAATATATTAGAAAAAGAATTTAATGAATTTGATTTTGAAACAAATGATATTCAAATTATGTATGATAAGTTCACTCAGCGAATAAATTTAGCTGCGGATAAAGCAATACCATATATAAAGTACTGTAATAATTTAGATCGAAAATTTGTTCCCAAACCTTTTTGGAATCAAACATTATCTAAAATAGTTGCTGAGAGGAGGTTAGCACTTAAAAATCTTAGAAGAAATCCAACCCCTCATAATCTAGATATATTAGAGCAAAAAGTAACTGAGGCCCGAATGTTAATAGTTAAAGTTGAGTCTGAGAGTTGGCATTCTTTTTGTAGTGATATCGATGAAAATACAACTGTAATGGATATGTGGCGTAAGATGCAATGGATGAAAGGCTTGAGAAGGGCTAAAATTTGTACATCAGATGAGAGAAAACAGAAATTATTAGAGTCATTGGCTCCCGACTTTGTATCGCCTAACATACCATTATTAAGATCAAAAAATGAAGCATTAGAATCTCCATTTACGTACTCCGAATTGGACAATACTTTAAAACAAAAAAATAGTTCTCCTGGAGATGACAATATCTCTTACTCGATGTTAGTTAATTTACCCAGTATTGCCAAGCGTTATTTATTAAAATTGTTCAATCTTATATTTAGCTCCAGTTATGTCCCAAAACAATGGAAGATAGTACAGATTGTAGCCATTCCTAAGCCTGGAGACAATAATGGTAAATTAAGACCTATTTCCCTTATATCATGCGTAACTAAAACATTTCACAACATGATTAATAAACGTTTGGAATGGCACTTTGAAAGAAACCATTTTTTTTCGCCAAGAACAACGGGCTTTAGAAAGGGACAATCGTGTCTGGATAACTTAACTCGCCTAATCACTCATATTCAATTAGGCTTCACAAATAATCTTCAAACTGTGGGTTGTTTCTTAGATATAGAAGGAGCTTATAACAATGTTCTTATTGAAAATATTGTAATTACCTTGGATAACTATGAAGGCGGATCTTTGATTTGCAAGTACTTGTGGCATTTTTTAAATGAAAGACATTTAAGAATAAGATGTGATAAGGATAACTCCTTTTATGAGAGATGGACAAGTAAAGGTCTGGCTCAAGGAGACCCACTATCCCCTTTGTTATTTAATGTTGTTACAATAGAAATATCTCGGTCCATTCAGAATGTTTTTTTAAGTCAATATGCTGATGATATTGTTTTATATTCTAGTCTTCCAAAGATTCAAGATACTATTTTAAATTTACAAAATGCTTTATATATTTTAATTAACTTATTGGATAAATTAGGCTTACAGCTATCGGATACTAAATCTAAAATATGTGTTTTTAGTAAAGGACATTGTAAACATAATATAAATATTACTATTAATGGATTGAACTTGGAGACTGTCGAATGTATTAGATATTTAGGCTTTTATTTGGATAGGTCTCTTAGGTGGGGAGCACACATAAATGAAATATGTTCAAAAACTAAAAGGTTTTTACAACTGCTTAAGGCACTAGCCGGTCCTGGATGGGGGATACATCCACAGCATTTGCGTACAGTGTACACATCTATGATAAGAAGTAGAATGGACTATGGCTCGTTTTTATATAACAATAGTGCTAATGTTCACTTATGCAAGCTAGATAAAATACAAAACCAAGCTATGCGTATTATTGGAGGATATATTAGGTCTACTCCTATTCATGTGATGGAGAGTGACCTCTGTTTGCCACCTCTTTATATAAGAAGGCTATATCTAGCTATGAAATTTTGCTTAAAATGTCAGTCTTGGTCTGAAAATGAAACTTTAAAATGTATATCTGATTTGAGTTTATCTTTGGGTAAAAGGTATTGGAATAATAAAAAGAAGCCTTTATTAAGCGTTACATATCTGGAAACAAAAAATGAAAATGTCAGCTCATCTAGCACTTCAGAGATGTTTAATTTAGATACATGGATGTCAAATATTAATATTAAAAATGTATGCAACTCCAAATTAAAGTGTATAAAAAGATCTAAAAATAGTTACGATATTAATATATTAAGACAAGAAATTATACAGGAAATACATAATAATTATTTTGGCTGGTATTATCTGTATACTGATGGATCTAAAGATAAAACAAACGTTGGCTGTTCTTTGTACGATCCAAATTGTAATGTTAATAAAATGTTTAAAATAACTGCTAATACATCAATAATGACTGTGGAGCTTGTTGCAATTTTGGAGGCTTTACGTTATTCTAGAGATGTGTATAGAGATAACATTGTTATTTTTACAGACAGCGAAAGTGCTATACTGCATCTTATAAGTTGCGTAAGAGGAACAAGGGGAGTATCTGTAGCCTACAAAATTTTACATGAATTAACTAAAATACAATCTATCGGAAAGTCTTTAAAATTGCAATGGATTCCTTCTCACATTGGACTAACGGGAAACGAGGAGGCTGATATTCTTGCAAAACAAGCTCCTCTCGTAGGGAAAGTTTTAAATGTAAGACCAAATTATTCTGATTTTTTAGTTAAATATAAACAAGAATGTGTAAACCGCTTTAAAGAGTACTTTGACGAAAGATCAAAACTTAAGGGAATATGGTATAAGACTATACAAAGTGAGCCTCCTCGTATCCCGTGGTTCTGCGACTCAGGGTTGACGCGTCAACAAATTGTTATGGCTCTTAGGCTGCGTTCGGGACACGTTCCACTTAACAGATTTATGTTTCTAATGAAAAAATCTAATTCTCCAAATTGTGATTTATGCGGTGTAGAGGAAGATGTGCATCATTTCTTAGTGGAATGTGTTCGTAACGCGGATAGGAGACAGGAGTTGATGCGCCGTTTTAACGTTTGCTGGAATGATGTGGGAGTTTTTCAAAGCGCACTGTCTAAACCTAACTCAGAGATAGCCAAAACTGTATATCAATTTAAGTTAAAATAAGTTATAATTAGAGGTACTAGTATTATTAGTGGTATACATGTCTTAAGGGAACGATGGGACTGACATTTAGCTTTGTTGCTAAGAAGTCCCTAAATAAAAATAGATTAAAAAAAAAAAAAAAAAAAAAAAAAAAAATAATAATCATCCGATATTTACTTATCAGTTTTTTTGAAACTTCAATTCCATAATATATTTTTTTGAACAAAAATAAAACCGATTTATCTATAGAAAAATTACCAATTGTTTTATAAAAAGAATAACCACTTTCTAATAAATAATAATTCTACTTATATGTAAATAATAATATTGCATTATTGTGATGTGAAATAATAGTAAATATATTTTTCCCATGAGAATGTTTATATGAGTATTTACTATAGTTGTATGTAAGTGACAATACCATTATTGTTCTATAGAAATTGTTATCATTTTTTACTCATACCACTACCGGAAATTGCGGGTTCGATACTAGTATCAAACAAAGAGCTAGTATTTTTGTATGTTTTAGGATTCAAGAGCCAACCTTATCAAATCAAGTCAAAATATATTTTATTTAAATAGACCTATACAAGCCATTCTGAATCATCACTTTTTACATTTTATAATTTAATTGAATATCCATATGTAAGTTCATAGAGACCACCAGGCCAGCTAGAAACTCAACAGTTGCTCTTTTAAAATAATATTTGTTTGAAAATAATAATTGTCATTCAATTGTAGTCCATGTCATAGGTATTTACGTATTTTGGTGAATAAACATTTTTCAAAACAGCATATAAAAATATATAAATAAATAACTTGCCTCAGCATTATACGGTGACACAGCGAGAGCTCTTCTGAAACACTCAATGGATTGTCGTGTGTCACCTTTGATTCTCCAAAAGTTTCCAATTTGATTGTAAAGTTGCACTGACTTTGGTTTCTCTCTTTTAGCTTTTTTTAGGCGTTTCTCTAAAGCATTTATATCTAGTTCTGTTATACCATTTTTAAATGACTTTTTTTTTGTAAATATAAGAGCAATCTGGAAAAAAATAATTTTACTCTAACTTAACTATCCTTGTTAATTTCACAAACAAACTTATTGTTGTCAATCAGTACTGGTCTTATTAAGTAGATTTAAAAAATATGCAAGTATAATCTACATAATATGTATGAACATAATATGAAAAAATTGAAATTAACATTTAAATCATGATCATATTGCATTATCCTTTTCAATCTTACCTGCGGTTCAGGTACATTAGGGTGTCTATGACGCCTTGCCACACCTACGAGAGTGTCATAGTATGTAAAATTAACAGCTTTGCCACAGTCTAAATATTCATCATCTAATTCACCACCATTAGCCTCTGCTGGTGAAGATTCATCTCCATTTTCTCCACTGGCTCTGATAAAATATTTAAACGTGATATAAATTTATTAACTGAGTAATACTATAATATTTGTTTTGTAATGAAAAGAAGAAATTGTAATTCAAGGTTAACAAATCAATAATAGGTAAACCTATTTAGATAATATATCACAAAATTTATGTACAAACATAAATTTACTAGTGTTTTTTCATGACTCCGAATGGATACTTTAATTAAGTATTAAGATTAAGATATAATATCTTAAAAAATTATAGCCTAATATATATGTAGAATATATATACTCTGATGTACAAGCTAAGCTATATTACTGTAAAGTGTTATCAAAATCCACTCAACAGTTATTGCATGAAAAAGTAAAAAACTTTTTCATTTTATAATATTAGTGAGAAATTTTACTTAAGAAAGTAATAATTTTTTTGGTGGTTAAAAGTAATATTAGTAGTATATTTACCAATTTAATATTTAAGCATTGTTTAACATTACTTATGTAATGTATAAAAAAAACAATGCTCAAGTTTAGTAAAATCACTAGACTAAAAAAATTATACCTTTGCTGTTCATAAATCTGGCAATCAGTGCAAAACATATCAAAGCCATGCTTAGTCCAAGTATTGCCATAGTAAACAGTTGATGTTATTATATTGAACACAGTGTCTTCTTCAGTTATTTTGGTTTTCTCAGAGTCATCCTAAAAACGTTAAATTTTTGTATAGAAGGATAAAATATAACATGTTCATACATATTTGATAACACTTTCAATTTATAACATTGGTTTCATTTTTATTTTTTAGAAATCGATTAGTGAAAGTAATAATTTTTTTTTATATTTTATATTCTATTAAGTATTCCATAAGAAATTGCAGTCCAAGGCTAACAAGATTATGGCATAAAAATATAAACTAACGCGACAATATGTTTCAGAGTATTGAATATTCACTGTGCACTCATTCTATAAAATTTAATAAATATTGTAATATTTGAAAGTAACCTGCGATAATGTATTGCCGTCAACTATTTGCCCTTCTTCAACGTCCAATTTCCAAATATTTGAGGTACGAGAGTTAGTAGCAATGATTTGAAAAGAAAATATATACAGAACCAAACAAGTCAAGTATGGTGAATCCCACATTTTGAATAGTAAGGTCCAAAGTAAACATGTAAATTGTTTTAGAGCCTATTTATGAAAGAAAAGTTTCACATGAAATAATTTATTTAGGACACAACAATCTTATAGCTATAAATTTAATCGTAATCTCTTCTCCTCTTCCTTGTCTTTATTTTGACAGATTACGAACAGTGAAGTGTGAACACAGAATCAAAATTTTTTGGCAAAGTTAGTTCAGTAATAGAATATTCTATTGATTTATTTTTATTTGAGATTATAAGATAGTGTAAATTAATTCACTAAAAGACTCTCTTGACTAATTTTTAAATGTTGAATACTGATAAATAGTTTAAGTAATATCAATACTTATAAAATTTGCTATGAAGTTTTAAAAGATTCTTTAATTAACACTAAAAAACTTTTCAGTGCTTCATAATCTTAGATTATACGCATATGTATACCTCATAAGTTCATAATTCATATCATGGATGACAATTCATATTGTGTGCCATATTATTTGACCATAAACATTGGTCATAATTCATAAACTATTTATTATTCAATATTTAACTGTGGATGCATAACAAACAAGTATAAACTATGAATTTTTAATTGACTTTTTGCTAAATGCTTAATATTTTATAATGTGTTAAAAAACTTCAAACCTACAAACTTTTGTAGGATTTTTTATAACAAGATAAAAATGATATACAAATGCTCATTACATACTATAAACATATAATGTTTCATATTGCAGGCTCCATTTAAAATGATAAACTACAATTTTAAATTAAATAATTGAAGTTAAAAGAGATATTATACGATTACGAACGATTTAGAAACATTTTAGAAAAGGAAATTTTAGAATATTCAACCCTTTTTTATCGTCCATCTGCTGGGCATGGGTCTCCCTTCAATATGAAGAAAATAGATAATCAAATTTTTATTCATTGATTTAGATATAAAAAATAAAAATAGATTGTCTTCGATTTTGTTTAGATATTTTATTACGCTAAAGATACGTTAGACGTGCATTAAACAAATTAGATGTGTCATTGTCTATGATTTTTTTATCATGTAGCAATATGTCAATGGTAAATGGTCATTGTCAATTGTCAAAAAATTAAAAACAAACGTGTTGCTTGTTGGACGCCAATAATTTCATGTTTATTGGTATTGATTTTGAGTACATAAAGAAAATATTTGTTAACTATTGACTGAACATGAAAGACTTACAATTTTTATTTAATTAGACTTCATTGTAATATTGATAGGATGAAGAAGGAAAGAACGGGCGATAATTGTCGCCCATTTAAACTATAAGTATCTTAAAAACATTTTTGACCAACTTCCTAAACTCATTACTCTTATGTTATTTAGATATCTTTATTATTTTACAGCTCACCAAATTCTCAGTTTAACTGGTATTAGTTTTGAAAGAAGAAGTGTTATTGTAAGTAAAAAATTGTGCTCAAATAGTATATATGGATGATTCTCATATTTCTGTTTACTTTGTAAAAATACGGGGAATATTAATGTATGGACTTTATTTTTAGGGATTTGTAGAATTGACCATTGTGCCCCTAAAAGATAATTTGCGGTACATTCGCCTTAATGCTAAACAGTGTCGTATATACAGAGTTTGCCTAAATGACCAATATGAAGCAAACTTTCAATATTTTGATCCTTTTTTGGATATCTGTCAAAGTGATCCTAACACGTAAGTATAATGTGTTGTTACTTAAACTGTAATTTAAACACAAATTAAAATATGGACAGATTTGCAAATTAAATATTGTAAATTTCATTCTCAGGAGAAGTCTTGAAGTGTTCTCCCAATTCCATTTATCAGCCGCACAAAAAATTGATCCTGATCACAACTCTGGTGAACTCCACATACAAATACCAGATGATGCAGCTCATTTGGTAGGTGAAGGGAGGGGACTAAGAATTGGTATTGAATTCTCATTAGAATCACCACAGGGTGGTATGCATTTTGTTGTGCCTGAAGGAGAAGGTACATTAGTTGAGGTGAGACATCGTTACCTAAGTTGACATTCAATCTATTAAAAAAAATCTTGTAGTTTTAGACAATATGAAAAAAATATAATAAAAAAATGTTTAAACTAACAAAAACTTAAAAACAAGTTAATTTTTTTGACCTTTATAAACATTGCTTTATGTTTACTATTATTACAACTTAAATATATCTATGACATTTCTTATATCTTAAACATTTCAAAAAAATGATAAAATAAATATTATATTTCAGAAATCAGCTCACATGTTCACTTACGGCCACTCAGCCCGTCTTTGGTTCCCATGTGTAGATAGTTTTGCAGAACCATGCACTTGGAAACTAGAGTTTACTGTAGATGAGAGTTTAACTGCAGTGTCCTGTGGGGAGTTGTTGGATGTAGTGTATACTCCTGACCATAGACGAAAGACATTTCACTATGTTGTAAACACACCAGCTTGTGCACCAAATATTGCTTTGGCAATTGGGTAAGACTTAATGTTTTTAAGTATCTTAAATTTCTTGTCTTACTTACATTTGATTTATGAAGCATATTATCTTTCTATATAGATGAAGTTTTTTGTCCTGCCTAATTTATGAACCTCCAGGCTTCTTAAAATGATTTAAGACAGCTAAGAAATTATTTTTAAAAATTCTTTAAAATTTAAAGTCGTACATGGTAAAATTGAAAGAAAATTAGTTTTCTTCTATGGACATGCAGACAAAATAAATTACATAAATCATATTATGCAAAAATAATATACATAAATCTTGAATATCATGAAATTTATGATGTAAATATATTTTTTCAGACCATTTGAGACCTATGTGGATCCACACATGAATGAAGTGACACACTACTGCCTGCCCCATCTGATGCAAATACTAAAAAACACTGTGCGATATTTACATGAGGCTTTTGAGTTTTATGAAGAGACTCTGTCTACAAGATATCCTTATCCTTGCTACAAACAAGTATTTGTTGATGAAGTAAGTAATATTTAATCCTTCAACGACCGCGGACTCGCCGGCATTACAGTTAATAATAGATTTCTTAGAAATTTAATTAATTTCTTAGAAGTTTAATTAATTTCTTAGAAATTTACTTGGAGGTGCTAAAATATATATTTTTTTACAATTTATTTATTGTTTATTTTTAACTATTTTTTGAGCCTATAAACTTTTTAAAATGTGACATAGACATAATATGATATCATAAAAAATAATATAATGAGTTGTATTAAATCAATTACTTTAATTTCATTATAGACAGAAGATGATGCAACTGCATATACTACAATGTCAATACTAAGCACCCATTTGCTTCACTCAATTGCTATTATAGACCAAACTTACATCAGTCGTAAGGCAATGGCACAAGCCGTGGCAGAACAATTCTTTGGCTGCTTTATAACCATGCAAAATTGGTCAGATTTGTGGCTTGCCAAAGGAATACCTGAGTATTTATGTGGGTTATATTCTAAGAAGTGTTTTGGAAATAATGAGTATAGGTATTGGATACATCAGGAGTTGCAAGAGGTAGGTGCAATAGTGAATTGTTTATTATATTTTACTTGTATCTAATCTACTAAATATTTATACCTTCCCTGGGTCTTAAGGCCAAAAATTATGCACTTCTGTTCGAAAAAACATCAGATTAAAGACATTTATACATACTTTACAATTTACATATAGCTTAAATAAAAGAGAGTGACAGTGAATCGAATATTATACATTCTGGGATACATTCAGGAATGAGAAATCTCCTCTAGGCATATTGCTATTATTATGATAAAAACCAGGAACCCTTCTTTTGCTCTATTTTCGACATATTGTGTTTATAGGAGCCTTACTTATTTACTTAGTAATCATAATTGTTTGCTAAATTATAGGTATACACAAAAAACATACACAAACAAAAAAAGAGTTTTTTTTTTCTTTTTGATAATTATGATTTTATTATTTATTTAAATAGGTAGTGACATATGAAGAACAATATGGTGGAATAGTCCTCGATCCATGGCAGCCCCCCGCCAGCGGCGCTCGAGTCGAATCCAATGACGTGTTTTACTTTCCTGTTAGAAACGTGCATACAATGTCGCCGAGATATATCGAAGTAAGTGTATTTTTTGTTACCACAAACTTGTCTGCAGTTCTGATCGTTTAGACCAGAGTCGATAATTTTTGAAACCAAAAAATAATAGTAGGATGAAACCCATTGGATAAGCAAGAGAATATAACAAAAATGAAACGAAAAATAATTTACGGGCGATCTGAGGTCGGGAAGTGGAAGGGGGTGAGTTTTTAAGGGTAAAAAACGGTTTATTTTGATTTCCGGCAAAACTACAAGCCCTGTGGAAAAAAGTTATATGGCAAAGTTGTAGGTAATATAAAGATCTACAACTTTTGTATTTACACTTTTTTCACATAACCTCAAAATTTATGTGAAAAATTCAGTTCTACAGGATCGACGATTTTTTTTTCCATATTATACTTTATAGGACAAAATTTAATTTTCCCTTGTAATCAAAAATGTGCATAAGAAAATATAACAAATTTGTAATATTATTATAATATATTTTTAACCTATTTCCAAAAAGGAGGAGGATGTTTGTCTGTATGTATAATATATATATTTTTTATGTATAGGTAATGCGAAAGAAATCTCAACTAGTACTAAGAATGTTGGAGCAGCGTATCGGTCAAGAGTTACTCCTGCAAGTATTCAACAAGCAGCTCTCATTGGCCACCAATGCTGCCAACACTAAAATTGGTAGCGGTTTGTGGGGACATTTGTTGTTGTCCACAAATTTATTCGTAAAGGCAATATTCACAGTGACTGGCAAAGATATGGCAGTGTTTGTTGATCAGTGGGTACGCACTGGTGGACACGCTAAGTTCCAGCTTACATCGGTTTTTAATAGGAAAAGGTAATATTATGTAATATTATACTCTTAATTTGTGGCGACTCTCTTTAAGATTTATTGATTTTAAATGCATTTTAAAATATATTTGGAATTACTAGTTGTTATTTTAAATAAAACTGTCTTTTTGGTATTTTTTGCGGGTTTATTTTGATGTTTGGTTCTCGGCGTTTTAAATGCTTTACAGCAATCATGGTCACGGGAGAGGCTAAGGTTTTAGTGTTTTGAATGTTATTATAAAGTTGGTATTGTTATTATTAATTTAATTGTAAAATAAACATAAGAATGCGTATTTTTGCTATATTTTATTCAATTTACAATTTCTTTTAAAGAAACACAGTGGAATTAGAAATTCGTCAAGACAGCGTTCACGAGCGCGGCATAAGGAAATATGTAGGACCGTTACTAGTACAATTGCAAGAGTTAGACGGGACATTCAAACATACATTGCAAATAGAGAATATTGTGGTCAAAGCGGACATCACCTGTCACAGCAAGAGTAGAAGAAATAAGAAAAAGAAGATTCCATTGTGTACCGGAGAAGAGGTCGATATGGACTTATCCGCTATGGAGTAAGATTTTTTTGCAATTTTTATTCTATATTCTTAGTCGTATACGAATTGTTATATATTTATAGTCGTCATCGACTCTGTCTTTTAATTTATACTACATTTTATATGGTAAAATTATAAAAAAATATTATAATATAGTTTTTTCAATTTAATAATAAGAGAAATATTAAAGAGTACGAGATTGATAATTTAAAGAAAATTCAGGAGGACGACTTGAGATTTAAAAAAAAAAATTACAAATTATAAAACTTTATTTTACATAATTACAATAACAAGTCGCCAACAGCGACTCCCCTGTGCTGTGGATCCGCCTGGACCCCGAGATGTCGCTGCTGCGCGCCGCGGCCGTGTCGCAGCCCGACTACCAGTGGCAGTACCAGCTGCGCCACGAGCGCGACGTCACCGCGCAGCGCGAGGCGCTCGACGCCCTGCGCGCCTTCCCCGAGCCCGCCACCAGGAAGGCGCTCACCGACACCATCGAGAACGAACACACCTACTACAAGATTAGATGCACGGCCGCACATTGCTTGACCAAGGTTGGGGTTTAGCTCTTCTGTTTACTCTTATGATCAGTACTCGATTTCGATTTGATCGCCCGAAGAATAGGATACGTTCATTTTATTTTTACTAGTGGTACCCGATATGATTACCGTTTGCTAATACGGTGAAAGAAAATATCGTTAGGAATAATGCATGTCTGAGCGAACTTATAGAGTTTTTGAAAGACATGTGTAGTCCGCCAACTTGCACTTGGCGTACTTACCCCGGTGTAGTGGATTATGACCTGATCCCCTCATATTGGGTGGCCCGGGCCTACAGTGTGACGTCAAAAAGAGCAGGACCAAAAATACATTGCAATGAAAACAACATTCAACTCACGTTCAAATTTAATGAAAAGAGAAGATGGACCCGTTCTACGTGACTTTGTGTTTGTGTGTGTTGTCAACTGGCACGTTTTGAAGTCATTAACAATAAAATTGAATTGAAAAGATGGCCTTCATTTACATTTATTTGTTAAAGGTAGCAAACGCAATGATAAGCTCGTGGGCGGGACCGCCGGCCATGTTGACGATATTCCGCAAAATGTTTGGCTCTTTTTCCGCCCCTCACATCATAAAGCAGAACAACTTCGACAACTTACAACATTACTTCTTACAGAAGACTATACCTGTGGCAATGGCTGGTGTGTATCTGATTTCAATTTTCATTTAAATTTTACAAGTGACATAAAGTTATTGATGCATTAAGAGTAATAAGTTATTTGTCTTACTTACAATTAGTAGAAGAAATATTGAAAATGCTGTATATAAATAAGCAGTGGTAGCTCAGTGGTAATGCGCTCGCTTGGGAAACCGAATTAAACTGGTTCAAATCCCGGGTCTTTATTTCCGGGTTTTTATGTGCTATTTGTTTTGAATATGAATACCACTTGTCTTAACGGCGAAGGAAACATCGTTAGAAAACCTACATTTCTGAGAGAACCTAGCAAGTTTTCGAAAAATATGTGAAGTCCGCCAACCCGCACTTGGGCAGCGTAGTGGGCTATGATCTGATTCCCCTCGCATTGTAGGAAGGCCCGCGCCCAGCAGTGGGACGTTAAAAAGGGTTGAATACATATAAATAGTTTTCATAATTACCCAATTCAAAATAATTACGTATTTTCACACTAAAAGTTTTATTGTTTTGTTTTTAGGTATAAGAAACATTCACGGCATTTGCCCGCCAGAAGTAGTGAGGTTCCTCTTAGATCTGTTCAAGTATAATGACAATTCAAAGAACCATTTCTCAGATAACTACTACAAGGCGGCGTTAGTGGACGCTCTCGCCGCCACCATCACTCCTGTTATATCTGTCTTACAACCTGTAAGTTTGATAATGTAATTCTTACTAGTCAGTTACTTGTGATACTTTTACATTAAGGGAATTTTTAAAACAGGGTTATCCTAGTCATAATTAGCTGAGATTATGGCTCAGCTTGGCTTTTCAAAGTTTTTGTTTCATTCTCTGCTCACGCTTAAAATTTAATATTTAAAATCTAGGCAACCATGGATAGAGACATACTTCTGACAAGACAACCTAATACTGTTGGATAGGGAATAAAACCTTTTATTTCTTAAAAAAAAACAATTAAGTATCTGATGAGGGTGTATTAATACCGTCTGTTTATCTATTTGTTACCTGGCAACTCCATAGTTGTGCTGAAGGGGAAAGTGGGCAACCTATACTCTCCAATTCCTCGTGTAATATTCTCTCGACTAATGTCAGATTTTCATCAATAACAAATCGGGGAAGGTTGATCACAAAAGTTAATTAAAGTAATATTATTTAACAGTAATGGCCCGTGATTTATCTTGGCAACCCATTTTTGTTTTGTCAATGTATATCCTAAGTAGTTTAGTTGTAGGTAATTAATACTACGTTGAATCATGGATATTGTCCAAGAAGTAAGTTTTTAGTTTGCTCAATATTTTTATATGTTATACCGTTTTTAAAAATCCTTTTACAGGGTGCACCAATAACAGCGGAATCTCTATCGGCTGATACAAGGCTCGTGTTGGAGGAAATAACGAGGGTCCTTAATCTAGAAAAAGTGCTCCCTTGTTACAAGAACACAGTGACAGTGAGCTGCCTGAGAGCCATCAGGAGACTCCAACAGTGCGGCCATTTACCCAGCATACCCACTACGTTCAGAGCTTATGCGGAATATGGACAGTATATTGGTATGTTATAGGTGTTGTTCATTTTTAGGGTTCTGTGCCTCAAAAGGAAAGAGGGTACTCTTATAGGATAACACCGTTGTCCGTCCGTTCGTCTTTCTGTCAAGATACTTTTTCTCAGAAACCCATTAAAGTATCTAGTTGAAATTAATATCAAATATTCAGGTCTGTAATATGTTGGATCTGTGAAAAAAATTGAACTTCTAAGTCAACAAAATCAAAAGATACGACAGTTTATGTCCGCATATTCCGTCAAAATCCGTTTTGAATTTATCGCCTTCAGACAGACAGATAGACGTGGCGGGACTTTGGTTTATAATATGTAGTGATATACAAGTTTATTTTTTTATGTGAGACACATTATGTCCTAAGAATTTACCTAAGTTAATAAGATAATCGGTAGCGACTTTTGGGATATTCTTAAATTAGTATTGAGCATAATTTAAAACATTATTAAACGATAAGAAAGTACATGATTGTTTTCGTTACTACCTTAAAATATTCCAAAATTCATCAATTTCAGATGTCCGTCTGGCAGCATTCGAGTGTTTGGTAGACTTTGTCCGAGTAGACGGGAAGCCAGAAGACTTGTCTTCTTTACTTACTGCCGTTGAAAACGATCCCGATCCTGGCGTGAGGCACGGCTTGGCTCGTCTACTGGTTTCTATGCCGCCATTCGAAAAAGCTTCTAGACACCGTTTGGATACTGAAGCTGTTGTTCATAGGTATGTATTCAGCCCTTTTTAACGTCCCACTGCTGGGGGTGGGCCTCCCATCAGTAAGAGGGGGTCCTCCCATCAGGCCATAGTCCACCACGCTGGCCAAGTGCGGGTTGGCGGACTTCACATGTCTTTTGAAAATTTGCTAGGTTCTCTCAAATATGAAGGCTTCCTCACGATGTTTTCCTTCACCGTTAAGACAAGTGGTTAATCATGTTGGAAATGATTCGTATATGAAAATATTAAAGGTGTGAGACCCGGGATCTGAACCCACTTCATTCGGCTTTCCAGGCGAGCGCGTTACCACTGGGCTACCACTGCCAGTCATATGTTGTTATAAATGATATGTCATATGCCTGTTATATTCTATGTTCATAGGTAAATATTGTTATTTCAAAATCGAAGACAGGTACTTTAATTTGAGAGTAATAGTGTCAGCCTAAAGAACTGTATAGACGGAGCCCGCCAAAATAAATGTCAAAGTCAAATATATTATCGTCATTTGTTGTTTATGCTATTGTTTATTCTTGATTTTGGCATTCAGATTGTACACTTTCTTCAAAGAATAAGGGGTATTATACATATATATTAGTTGTTAATTTACAATTTTTGAGGATAAAATATGAATAATAAGTATAATTCTATATTCTTTTGTATTTTTTAAGCCATAATTCTCTTCCACTTGAAAGAGAGATAGCAACATGCTAGCAATATTTTTATTAAATAACATTTATTTACTTGTCGCTTAGTATACAAGTGACAATCTGATTTTTAAAACATTATTGTTTATCTTCATGCTTAGTTCTATGAAACTCTGTCTATATTATTCCTTAGCCTGAGGTATAAGTATACATTTGTATACAGAGTTAATCGAATACTGTTTTAAAAAATTGGGAGTATGAATTACTGCCTATTTGTATTAATCCCTCCACGACCGCGGACACGCCGGCGTTACAGTTAACAATACATTTCTTAGAATTTTAATTAATTTCTTAGAAATTTACCTGGAGGTGTTAGTGGATAGTATATATGGTCTGAGATCCAAAGGTCCTAGATTCGAGTCCTAAGTCGGTCTTAGAAGAGTTATTAATAAAAAACAAATTGAGAGTCTTTACTGACTTTTTCCTTTAGAATACAGTGTATACATAATATATAAGTGAATCGTTTAGGACTTAAAATACTTCTCTTTTACAGGTTATGGAATAACATTAATAGTCAGCTATCCAACGATGCAAGACTGAGATGCGATTTAGTAGATCTTTATTATACGTTATATGGATTGAAAAGGCCATTGTGTGTCCCGTTACCGGAGATACAGGCTATGATGAAGCAGATGCACCACAGAGAGAGGGAGAGATTAGACAGAGAGAGGGAGAGAATAGAAAGGGACAAGGAGAGACAGAGGGAGATTGATCTGAAGCCGGTAATCAAGCAAGAGATTGAAGATGTAAGTGTAATAGTCAAGTTATAGTTTTTTGTCATTGTTATCTATACTTGTGATATTATAAGGTTGATGTTTTTGTTTTTTGTTTGTTTTTGCATGCTAATCTCTGGATCTGTCAGTCAGATTTATATAATTTTTGAATCTTTTTGAAATTATTTTGGGGCAATTTTTTAAATTTGGTTTATTAAGGGATTTGTTAAGCATAAAACAAAAATATCAGTTTCGTAATTCTATAAACACTTATAAAATAAATAAACTTAAGGAAGAGTTTATTATGGAGTCAAATTACATTTTTTTTTGCTTAAGTAGAATAAAAAAACCTATAAATATATATATATATATATATATATATATATATATATATATATATATATATATATATATATAAAGTCGGGTAAATGTATACATATATATAGGTTTGTTACACCATTTATAACTCACGAATGGTTGGACTGATTTCTATGATCTTCTTATGGTTTTTATAGGCTATCTATATAATTTTGATAAATAAACTGCCTCGGTGGTATAGTGGCTAGCATGTACAGCTGCACACCCGGAGGTCCTGGGTTCAAGTCTCGGGTCGGGCCAAGTTTAGTTATTGAGTCTTTCTGTATAGTAAGCCTCAGTAACAGCCCGGAGTTGGGAAGTTGGCGGTGTTTCACCCCCGTGCCGAGGCAAAGCACGTAAAGCCGTCGGTCCTGCGCCGACACTCTCACCGCGAGTGTCTCGTGTCGTCCCACCGGAGTATGAGAATGACAGGAATAGAGAGTGCACGTTGTGTCTGCGCGTTCACGCGCTGCACTATAATATCTCGTTGGCTCGTCTCAATGAGATTGGCCGCCGTGGCCGGAATCGGTTAAGAGAACATCATCATTATATAATTTTAAAAAGAGAACTTCAATATCGATCAAACTATTGTAAAAATGAATTGTTTGATTTTCAACCATGAAAAGATCACTAGTTAATATAAATATGTTGAAAAAGATTCCAGTTAAAACGGAGATAGACATTGGGCCACTAGGCGCGCCCTCGCCCGCGCCCCGCGCGCCGCCGCGGGACGTGGCGCTCCCGGTGCCCATCGCGAGTATAAAGGAAGAGGATGACAAAATAGACATCATGTCCGTGACCGACGCGCCCGTCCGCATATACAGTGTAAGTGAAATTGTGAATTAATTATATTCATATTATTACTTTCGGGATCGAAAATTGTAATACGTCTTCTGCTCTATTGATTTTTTTTTCTGGTACTTGTTTGTTTTTTTTTATTGTGTTCTATAATTTTCTATTTATTGAGGAAGGTTTGAACCCTTATAATATGATCATGCCAAGAGTTAGGAAGCAGGATACATAAAAAACTACGCAAGTTGAGTCGCACGCGTGTACTATCTAGCGCAAAAAAACCCCGAAAAGATAGTTTTATTTAAAATGTTTAATAATCGCTTAAATCTAAGAAAGTATTATGTTGTTTCAGTTATTTAAAATGAAAATATTTTTACAGGATGAAACAAAACGCGACTTCATCTCGGACAACGCAGCGCCTTTACCGGGCATACCGGGCTCGTCCGGCCCCGTCGGCTTCGAGCCCGGCATGTTCAGACACGACAAGGATGATTTGGGTGCACCTAAGGTAAGATGTTGATGAAATATAACATTAAATAAACTCGCTCGCTTCGCTCGCGTTCGTACTAGCCTGCGTCCCCATACAAAATTTTATCTCCATTCTCATCCCCTTAAGGGATGATTTCCGGAATAAAAACTATTTTACTCACTCACTTTTCATATCATGAGATTTAGAAAAAAAATTATTTTAGTAAAAAATGTTTTTTTTTTCTTTTAATTTTCTTCTATACAAAACAATAAAAAACAAATAAAAGTCCTGATAATAACAAACAAAAAAAGAGAAATATATATTATCTTATATTATTAAAGTTAAAGTAGTTAGTATTAAAGTTATGACGAACGATGAATTTAATTGAATTTTCGTTTATATTTAAAGGCGAAAAAGAAGAAGAAGGACAAGAAGAAGCACAAACACAAGCACAAACACAAACACAGCAGCAAAGAGAAATTAAAAGAGAAGGACAAGTCCTTACCTCCTAGACCTCCTTCTAGCACAGAGCATTTGAAAATCAAAGAAGAGACGCGGGAAACTCTTAGCTCATTCAGTTCGAGTCAAAGTCCCTCAGATGATATATCGTCTATGCCGTCTAATATGAGTTTTTAATATATTAAATTATAAATTAAGCTTATTTTAGATTCAATATTAAATGTAAATTTAATAATAAAATTATAATGAAATATTGTTTTTTTTTTATTTTATTTTATTTCTCTCCTTAAAAAATAATTTATGTAAGCAATAAAATAAATAGGAACAGAGGTATTATAATGGTGATTACATTTAGATGATTTCCATAGTTTGTGTTTTTCATTAAAACTAGCGGGGTCACCCTCGCTTCGCTCGGGTTCGTCCCTAGGTGAGTTGAGTATTAAATATTGAGTATGAAATAGATAGACTACAGGTATATTTTATTACTAATCCGCTTCCTTGGGTAGTAGCATGATGATATATGCCTATAGCTTCCCTCAATAAACAGGTTATCTAATGCAAAAAGAATTTTTCATATCGTATTAGTAGTTCCTGAGATTAGTGCGTTCAAACAAACTGCGTCTTTATAATATTAGTACCTATCTATAGATTTATTAAATTATATATTATTCCTTATTTCTATTGGTTCTGAATATTGAAGGGACCCGCGAAAGGAAGAAAAAATGGGAAGGAAATAAGACTTACTACACGAACAGACAAATGCGGTAAACAAACAACAAAATAAAATGTAAACAGCGCCATCTATGAAGTACAATACAAGTGTAAAGTTTAATATTTATAATGCAAAACAAAAGTAAAAGCAAAGCTAATTTTTCAATCATCAGTGAATTATGGCACTATAATATATGTACTTACTAGCAGTACCGGTGGCCTCGTCCGCGTTCTAAACTCGATCGCTACCAAACTACAGGACCACCCGCTAGGCTAATCTGAAGATTTTCTGAAAATTTCATCAAAATCGCTTCAGGGGTTTTAGAGTCCATAGTGAACATACATCGATTTTTATATACTCGTATATGTAAACCTATGTAGATTTATTTTGCTGAACAAACCTTCTAAATAAGAATTACAATATTTGACGTAACTTTTCGTTAAACGAGTAAAGAAGTTTTTAGTTAAAAAAATATATTATACTGAATTGTTTATTAGAAATCTTATTAAGTACTTATAAATCGTTGACATTTGATTAAAATTATCACGAAATGCAATAATTAATCAATAATTGCCCTGAACGTTATGCACTGACCTAAAATTATTAATATTATTATGCTAATAAAGACAGACAATATTATCTTATTGATTCTATAACAATTATAATGTAAAGATGAAATATGTGGAGTAATCGTTTGTTTAACGGAGAGAAGTGTGCAAACTAGTTTGTTATATTTTTTGAATATCGAATAGGTGACAGGTTTTTCAAACAAGTTGTGGATATTAAAGCAATTTAGTGTCTGTTGTTTTATAATAATCTTCTATAATTTTTGATCTGAATTTTATGCGAGTTTATTTATTCCTTGACAATGATAAGTACAGACAATGTTCTCTTAGGGTCAATATTCAAATTTTGTTAGTATAATGTGCCTTTATCAAAGAATTTGAATGAATGCCTTATATTTACTTCAACGTTTATATCTTACTTCACAGATGTATGATAGTTAGATAATACTTACTATTGTTTTGAAAACACGTAGGTTAGTGACTGTGTGTCTCGCAAACTAATAATTATTAGCAAGACCACTGACCAGTGGACTACCAATACTTCAAATTTAATGTTTTATCTCCCGTGATTTACCAGGTTTAATCTTTTGTATCAGAGAAAAAAACAACGGGCGTCACCTAATGCAGCATCACAAAAAGTGAAGTAAAGAAATACAAGCTTGGAAGCTAAAAAAAATACAAGAAATTAATTTAAAAATTAAAAAAAGCCGCAACACAATAACCTATTCATTGATGCCGTTTCAATGAGTACAAACATGACATCTCTGCAGTACTTTATTACTTTATAGTTATGTACCTAACTATCTTAAAATTTCCAAGTGACGCTGCAGCATCAGTCCAAGGTTACCATATCGTTGCAATGTTATAGTAATGGGATACCAAGTTTTGAATGGATTAGATCTGTAGAAGATCCCTTTCCTTTGAATATCCTTTTCTCGTCTAGAATAAAACTGATGCAACTGCGCCTTCATATATCTGAACGGATTTTCTTGATTTATAGCTAGGAGCAATCTCAATCAAGTCACTATTCAAACAAAAAACTAAATTAAAATCGGTTCATCCGTTTAGATGCTACTATGAGATTTTGCCACTAGGGAATGCAATCTCGAGTGGAGATCGCTAAGTCTCGAGCCTACCTAATTAGGTAGGCTAGGCTAAGACAATTGTCTATACAAGTCACTTGTAAACATTTTATTAATTGAATTCGTCGGCTTACAATTATTGGGAATTAAGTAGCCTATTGAGCTTTGACCTGGACCTATTTTGTTAATTTAATTATTCAGTAGCTATTTTAAGACGGTGGTAGCCCAGTGGTGAGGCGGTCGCTTAGATAACCGAGTAAAGCAGATTCAAATCCTGGGTCTCGTACCTCCGATGTTTTCATGTGCGAATCATCTCCAACAAGATTACCACTTGTATTACGGTAAAGGAAAACATCATGAGGAAACAATGATCATTATTATTTTCCATTATTTTGAATATTATCATCCTTTAGTTATAACTTAGCTGTTATATAGTTCATATTTAAAATTAATTTGTGTATATCCATAATATACTATAAGATATAAACACAGTATTATGTTACATTTAATGTAAATCATATTATACAATCTGATAAGTGATTTACTTATGTATTACATTATTATCAGTAAGCAGCTCTTAACTAGGACGATGGACGAAATCGGTTATATTATTTTATAAATACAATTAAATATATTTCTAATTAGATAAGATCATATAAATTTTGTTAAAATATAGAGTTTTCTGTGTCAATGTTAACATGCTTTATAAAAATTATAAAGAGACTATAGTAAATAAACATTATATAGCTAGTACCTACTTGAGAAAATTCTTTTCTAATTAAATTTATAATATAATTATATTATAAATCAAATTTATTTCTAATTAACGTAAAATTCAAATTAATATAAAATGTATTGTAAAAAGTGAAATTTGTATTTCAAAATTTTATTAAATAAATTATTTTAATTAAAAAGGTACACCGTACAAACTAGTATTATTATTATGTTCCACTTTCAAAGAAGTTTATATGGAACCGCGCTTGAGGTACAACATACAAAAAGCATTATTCAGGACAAACAACAAATTAAGGACTTTCCTATTTTTTTAAATCAATCAAAAATAGTATTTTTGATATAACAGTTTAATTTTTTACAACTTTTGAATGATAATGGCGTACCACTCGAGAACATATGTGTGACACTATGCTATACTTATTTATTACTAGCGACTCACCCTCGCTTCGCTCAAGTTCGTCCCTAAGTACATTTTGACGCTTAGTATGGAATAGATTTAAGTTTTCAATTTTTTTCTCTATTTCAAATCAATTTTATTCTGCTATTCGGGGCAGAGATCAATTCAACAAATCAAAAACCATGAAAATCGGTCCAGCAGTTCTCGAGTTAAAAGTGTTGTAACAAACCCGACTTTGTTTAATATACATAGATATCATTGTACAGATAATTATCTGAAGAATTTTCTAAATTTCAAATTTCTTATATGTATACATGATATTGTATGAAAGTGAGATGAGATTCAGATGATAAGTTGCAGCTAGAGTTCTGTGTTTGGTGTGCTTTTATAATAATGATGCTAATATCCTACTAACCGATTTTGACCACAGCGATCATTTCACTGAGAAGAGCCACGTGCGCAGGAAATAATATAGTGATTAGTGTACAAGAATGCGAGTTAAGACTTTTTTATACTTTCTTCTTTCGAAGTTCTATGATCGATCGACGATACAGGTGAGTAAATGAATGAATGAATCAAGCGCAGAAATGAGCCACTTTGGGCTGCTACAGGCAATTTCTTAACTGAAGAACTCAAAAGCTATGCCTGGCACGACCTAGGACGCAAACCCAAGACTTCCGCTAGCCACTAGACATAATATAAGGTTCTTTTTATGTGGCCTATCTCACTGAGACTAGTAGTAAGTTCAGTTACCGCACAGGCTGTATGTTTATAATCCTAATATTATAAACGCGAAAGTCTGTAAGAATGTATGTATGAAATATGACGACTGATTTTATATCCAAAAAATATAATTATTTTTTCTGTCTATCCTTAGCTTATATTTAAGCTAACCTTATTCTCAGGAAAATAGATATTATGTAAATTGTAGTCGGCAAGTTTTGGCTAAATCCTAATTTAATAATGATAAAAAGTTTTTGTTGGAAAATATATTACCAATTCAGCCTCTCCTACAAATATAAAGATGTACTAAGCACTCTTATACTAAATGTTCAAGAAAAATCACCAGTATGTAATTATTATAGACTAGCGACTCACCCTCGCTTCGCTCGGGTTCGTCCCTAGCTCGCTTCCCAATGCAAACTTTCATAGCCATTTTCTAAGTTTCTGATCAATTTTCTTAATTTTTTTAATGTAAGAACCTTTTACGAAGTATTAGAAAACATTTAAAAAAATAGATGAATGAAATCGGTAAAGCCGTTTTCAAGTTATAACGTAACCAGGAGAAATAAGAGTTTATAATATATGTATAGGTATATATATATTATTGTCATAGTTTATTTAACATTAAAACAAAAAGACCTCGTACTTTCTCTTAATTATCTATTAAACCGATTTTAATGATCAATAGATATTTTTCTTGAATTTGATTTTGTAAGGAATTAGTCGTTATATAAAAAAAATCTTAATTTTTTTATAGGTCCATACAAACAAAGTTAGTGTTATTGGTTATATTTAATTAATATTGACAAAAAATATTTATTGGATTACTCGGCAGCAAGCGGTGTGGTGTAACTGAATACGTCAACCTCAGTATTAAGTATCTATTAAAAATGCAAGTACGTAAGTGTTATGTTACATATAGAAATAACAATAATATTCTTATGGAAATCTAAAACTTAGTTAATTTTTGTAAAGAACAACTAAATAGGCAAGTGGGATACGCGATGCCAGTGTTCCGTAGCTTTTAGAGAAATATTTAAGGTTTTTACTGTACATATTTTACTATAATATATTTTTCGCTATTCACTAGATACATACATATATATTTAGTTTTAGTTTACTACCATATCGATAGCCATTGCAAACCACTGTCATCCGACCGTTGGTGCTGGTACCACCACTGACAAAATACGTATATGATATTTACTCATGTAGCAGCTACCTATATCTACATTTAATAGAAAAACGGGTGAAAGGTCGGTTCGCAATAACCGACCTTTGTTTTCCTTTCAAGATGTTTTTTGTTTCAGCCATTTTTGACGTCAAACTGCTTGGCGCGGTCCTCCTAATACAGGGGGATCAGGTCATATTTCACCACGCTGGCCAAGTGCTGGTTGGTGGACTTCACATGTCTTTGGAAAACTTGCTGGGTTCTCTCAGACAGGTTTACTCACGATGTTTTCCTTCAAGTTTTTTATTAGTTTAACAAAATTGTAGTAGCTCGAAAAATAAATTATTTTACAAGGAGCAACATATAATATGTAAGTTACATAAGCGTTTATTACTATAATTTTCACGTTCCACTTTTTTACTTAACTGATGTTTGCTACAAAGAAAAATCGTAGATGTATTACAAAATAAGCAACGATTTTTAATTATTTTGATAATTTAAAATTCATATTATTTATATAGTTTTTATAAATAGAATTAACAAATTCAAAATATTTTTTAAATGAATAAATTTATTACGCAATCCTAATAAACTGGTTAATTACAGAGCACGTCTCTTACTTTGATGATCATTTGTATTACTTGTGTCCCGGACTACGCGTGCAGCAGAGGTTTTGATCGATTCGATGACAGTATCGAATATATAATTATCGTAAGAAATTTTTGTGTAACAATTAAAATTTTATAACGAAAATGGCAGTGCAAAATGGAAACACAAAAAATAAATTGGACATAGCAATTATCGGGGGAGGATTGGTAAGAAATAGAATTATTGAATAATATTTAGAATTTATTTTACAACTTTGGACTTTTTTTTATTAATTCATATATTTACTATATATAAGTGCACTATTATGCATTGATGATTAAATATTTTCATTAATATTTTACTTAATTGACAAAATATATTAAATTATGCAATAATGAGTAACACTCACTAATGCGATTTTTTCGTGTGTTATCTGATCTTTTTATACAAATATAATAAATATATCGACATATTTATAAATAGACAGTTCTAAACGCTAGGTAACAATCTTTAGAAATTAAAATGTCTAAATTTCTGTATTAATTTTCCTTGTATCTTTCATCTTCTATTCAAAAATTATTAGTATATACGTATGTATATATGTAAAGTCAGAAAAAGAACGATAGACCTTACTAATTATAAATGCATGAGTGTTTGTAAGTCCACGCGCCCTTGTCGCGCGTCCACGCGGCTAGGAAGCAATGACATGTGATTTTTTTGCTAAGAAACCGTTTATGACCCAAGACAAAAATTGACGATATGTAAAAATTATTTTAGAACGGTTGTTAAACGGATTGTTTGTACAATGAGTTGTGAATTTAACTAGAAAAAAACAACAACATAAATTGTTATTATATTGCTATATCATGCCTATAAGTTACATTAAAAAATTCCAATAAAAATCGATATAAGTCCTATAAATTGTTTCTATGTAAAATATTGCATTTATCTATTGTTTTATAAGAGAGGATAGCTTCGAGCTTTTATATTTTTAATTTTATATTGGTGTAGGTTTTCTCTCTCTGATAACGAGGTATATCTGCTGTAACGGCATTTTAATTAATTATTTAATGATTTTTTTACATTTTATTTTCTTACAGTATCACAATTAGTTTAAGATACAAATGAATATTAATAGCAATACCGACATTGTAATTTTTTAAACGTTTATTTTTTTTTCTAATACTTAAATAAATTAATTTAAAAAAAATTGAAAACCTCTTTTACCATTTTAAAAGATGATAAAGATTGAACATATATGATCTAAAAATTCATGAATTTTCATATATTTTTAAATTCATAGCATATCTCAATTAATTTTAGGTTGGATCTCTAGAAGCGATTTATTTAGCCAAAAGAGGACATCGCGTGTCTCTCTACGAGTATCGTGAAGGTAAACTTGCTAATAATAATACAGTGGCTCGTGCTATACAATCGTTTTATTATGCAGATACATTCTGGTTTATCGGTTTAAAATAAGTTGATTATGTTTTATTTGAATTTGTTGTGCTTAAACATCTTATGCAATACATTTGGAATCGAAACCAATAAAATATATCTATACTAATATTATAAAGACGAAACATTTATTGTTTGTTTGTACCGAATAGACTCCGCAACTACTGAACTGATTTTGATGAAATTTTGTAAGAAAATAGTTTTAGAACCTGGGAAGGATAGTTTTTATTCCGGAAATCATCCCTTAAGGGGCTAAAAATGGGGATGAAAGTTTGTATGTGGCAACCTACGGACGAAGAGTCGCTAGTAAATAATATCTTTATTAACACGGTGCCTAGTACTCATAAGTAACTAGATAATGAAGAAAGAAAGATAAAGAAGAATTTCAAATATTCATAATAAAATAATATTTTCGGGCTTTTCAAAATGTATTGCGTGATCAGGATTGCTGTAAGGTGTTCGAAACGCGAAAAATGAATCCGCGAAAAAATCCGAAAACATTTTTTTTATTTTTAATTTTTAAAAGGGTTTCATCATAGAGACCATGCCCCGAAAAGATTTAACTAGGTAACTTTTGTATTTATAATATTATAAACTGACTAGCATTACCAGCGGCTCCACCCGCGTTCAGATGACCAAAAACCATATTCTTAGGTTTTACATACGTATTAGTCATGGACGAATTAGAGACTAATTCGTTCATGGTATTAGTATACTCTTACATTGCAGTTTTTGTAGTTTTTTCTCAGAAATGACATATTTTCCCGCAGTAAAAAGTATCCTATATGTTGATCCGGATAACCAGCTATCACCATACCAAATTTCATCAAAATCCCTCTAGTGGTTTTTCTGTGATGCGGATGTGATGAAAAATACAAAAACTACATTGTAAGAATATACTAATATCTAAAACCTAAGAATTTGGTTTTAAGTAATCTAAACGCGAGCGGCGCCGCGGGCAATGCTAGTATTATATAAGAATGCTTTACTCGACAATAGTCATAGTTCACCTGTACACTAAATTTTATTCAAATCCGACCAGTCGTTTCAGTGTGAAAGAGTAACAAACATACCAAACTATACATAACGTGCAGCATAAATAGCATGCAGGTATAAATAAGTATATAGAAATTTGATGTAGTATACTGCACGAAAAATGAACCTGTTTAGAATCGCATCACATCAATTCTATCAACATTTTAAATGCGAAAGTGTGTTTGTATATGTTCCCTTCTTTCACGCAGTAACAGATCGATGATTTTGATGCATAGACGTCGATAATGTTTTATAGATCGGAGATTCATATAAAGTAACACTAATATTCCGTGCATTAAAAATAATTTACTAAGATGTGTCCTTTTATTTCAGTTACTGTTATTTTCGGATATTAATCAGCAGGCTAGTAGCAAGAAGTCATTCCGGATTGGCTTTTCGCGTTTATTAAAAACTGGTTAGGTTCTCTCACATATGCAGGTTTCTTCATGATGTTTTTTATTCAAGTGGTAAAATTGGCTATAAGTGTTTCAGTGGTCTGGATATATTTCTATATGTTCACAGTAAAATAGGTTTGCGTGTATAGGCTTAATTAACATTTACTTAAATATTTTAGATATCAGGAAAACTCCGCTTGTTCGAGGACGTTCTATAAATTTGGCTCTGTCAGTACGCGGGCGTAAAGCTCTTAAAGGAGTTGGAGTCGAAGACCATATGGTCAATGACCATGGTATTCCTATGAGGGCGAGAATGATCCACAGACCCGATGGAACAACCTACTCTATACCATATGATGCTAGGACGAATCAGGTGAGTCGAGTAACTTGATTGAGATAGTAAGTCTATAACAAAATAAAAGATGTCATTTTAAAACTTTCAAAGAATAAAAACGTTTAAGGTGTTGAAATGACAAAAATCGTTATGTCATAGAATCTGAATTATTCCCGTATATGCATTGTTTTAGATTTTTATTATTTAACGATTGTAGAATGAAATCAATGTCTATTTAACAAATATAAAATAAACAATTAAAATTTTTGTTTCTTAATGATAATGGCAAGATAATAGGGTGTTTGAGAGTTAGGTAATATCGATTTGTGTTAGCTAAAAAGTAATTGTACTATAAATTAATAATTATGTTTTATTACCTATTGGTAATTACAATTAAAATATCTTTGTCTGCAAACGTTTAATGTACTAATTTTGATAACTATGTTGATACTGACCGATTTTAGTCGCAGCTGCCTTTAATGACATTAGCTATGCGCAGAAGATATTATAGTTAGTGCACGAGTGTACGCGCAGGCACAAGTGCACTCTAAATCTATCACTGTCAAATTCTGCTGAAAGGCAAATTCGTTACTGAGAAATTATTAAAAGATAATTCTATGACTACATTTTGCCCTAATTAGGACTCGAACCCAGGACCTGCGGATCTGCAGCCGTACATGCTAGCCACTTGGCAATATTTTCATACAATCTAAATATAATATGTATGTATGAGACCTACATATTATTATATTCGTTTATTACATTACATTACTCATGCATCTGTCTGTCTATCATAACGTAATTTCTCTTAATTTATTGGACGGGGAAGATCGATTAATATGTACGTAATATATATAGATTTAGGGACGTATAGTGTCCATTCTGTCTGTGGGTGTTAATTGTTACGGAAAATTATATTATGCCGTGCCTTAATTATTATTCAATACATAACAGGACAAGTGATAATTTAATTTTATGCCCATCTTCTTGCCTTTTGACATCTTTGCTCGTGTTTATCTTAAAATAAGTAGATCGATTATAATAATACTAGCGACTCACCCTTGCTTCGCTCGGGTTAATCCCTATGTTAATTCCCCATACAAACTTTCATCCCAATTTTCACCCCTTTAAGATAAAAAATAATAAAATAGATAGATAGATAGATAAAAAATAATAATAATAAAATAATAAAATATACTATAAAAAGTACCAAATTTTGTCTAAATTGGTTCAGTATATACAGAGATTACCCCCTACAACTTCACAAACTCACGAACTTTACCTCTTTATAATATCAGTAGGTATAGATTTGCACAGAAAGTAATTGTCTTTGAAATGTTTGTAGTAATAAAGAAATAACTTTTTACTTACTTTTAATACAAAGTTTATAAATAAATAATATTGTAATTCATTCATATAAAATAATACAATTTTTTTTACAGTGCATTTATTCAGTGGGAAGAAATTATTTAAACAGCATTCTGTTAAAAGGTAAATTCTATTTTAAACATTACACAAATTAATACAACTATTTAACATAAGTAGCTAATATGTTTTCATGTAACATAAGTAGCTTTCATACGAGTATAACATAAGTATAACATAAGTATCTATATCATAAGTAGCTTTCATATAACAAAAGTAGCTTTCATATAAAATAAGAAGCTAATTCGTTTTCATATTAAATACTATTTTTTATGTTTCTAAAAAATAAAACAAAGAAACAATATCTCTTTTCAGAATCGGAGAACTATGACAATGTTGCAAGATATTTTAACCATAAACTGATCCAGTCAAATTTACAAAAGGGCTCCCTCACCTTCCTTAAGTGAGTATTCATTAACGTTTTTAAATAACTTTTAAATGGGTATTTTTATATCTCTGGGTAATTTTTTTAGTTTTTAGCAATAACCTATGTAAGATGAAAATTTCAAAACGAGCTTCAGGAAAATATGTGTTTTAGTTCATATGTGTACCTACTGTATTATATATGTGCATTTATTTAGGGTCCGTAGAGATTTTAATTATACACTGTCACATTCTAAACATATGAGCAACGAGGAAGTTGCGCGCTTTCGGAAATTTTGTACAACTAAATTTGAAACTTTAATAAATATGCAGCTTATTACTATTTCATGAAAGTTTGCTGTGAATATAAATTTTATGATTTTATTACTAGAATTTATTATTATAATAGAACTAGAATCGATATATATATATATATATATATATATATATATATATATATATATTAAGACATTTTGCATGTGAACCTAACAGAGCGACATGGCCGTTTTAATAACAAAGCTCTTAAATAAAGAAAAAAAAATGAATTTATTACAAATTCAAAGTATTTTAAAGTATACTGAAATAGATAGTTTTTTAAACATATTAAAACGAAGTACATTATACCTTCTTTAATAATAACTTCTTTTTGCTTAAGTGATTTTCTACCACTTATCTCTAGGTGCAAGCACATCATATAATACTATACTGGTGCAAGGAATATACCTACATTTATAATGTTAACAATTTATTTATTACACAAAAAAGTTATTATGAACTAAATAATTACAGAACGGATTCAAAAGAGACAGTACAAGTCAATGCTGATTTAATCATCGGAGCCGACGGTGCATTCTCTGCTGTTCGCAAGGAAATGATGAAGCAACCACTGTTCGACTTTAGTCAGCAGTACATCGAGCATGGTTACTTAGAGCTATGCATACCAGCCGCTGAAGATGGAGGAGTAAGTTGGAAGATTTGTAAATGTAATTAATATAATAATGTATGTATTAATATAAGGCAAGTACGTTAATACTAACAACTGAAGCCACGCGCTTGCATAGCAAAATGGACTAATACCTCAGGTCTCACAACTCTGAGATTTTCATGTGCGAATTATTTTTAACATGATATGGTGGAGCAAAACATCGTGAACTTGCATGCTTAGTAAGCGAAAAACTTGTGAATTACTGCAAACCTGTCTTTAGGCCGTCGGGGTGATCTGATCTCCATCGTAATAAGGAAGGCCCGATCAAAGTACAAGATTCGATACAGAAAAATTAGGTTCTAATGGTGTACTTTTAAAAAAATTATGTATTTATTTCTACAATGAAACAAATTGTGGATATGATATAACCAAATAATAATATGGCAAAGTGAATTCTGAAATCGGTTAGGTGAAAAATTTTAAATGATGTTTTGTAGTGTTTATGAGTTGAAACATACTCATCATAAATAACTGATAATTGTCGTTTTAATAAGCCCGTCTCCAAGTGGTAAGTAGTGTATCTCTGAAATTTATTTAGAAGAGGAAATCCTCGTCTTGTATACATAGCAAGCATCAAGTTCCGTGAAAATTGCCAGCTGTCTAATTTTCGATTTCCATTTTCATCTAAGTAAAGATATTCCCTCATACGGTAACTATAATCCATTTCTAAGCTATATGATGTCGAAAAATTTGCCACAGTGTCTAATGCATCATCAGACTTCCTACAGTTCGGTTTTATTTTACCAGGTAATATCTCGTTAAATGTAAATTGATAAAATTCTCTGATAGGATCGCTTATACACGGCTCCCAAGGCAAATTATCCAGAGATTTTGGGTTAATGTTTTTTACTTTTACTTTTCTCGATAGTAAACTATAAAGTGCGGAAGTATAAAAACTTGAAATAAAAAATGCAAACCAAATCCAAACTATCATAAGCATTCTCGTTTTCTTCAATCTAAATAACCTAGTATCCGCGTGACCATAAACATAACCCCATATATTTAAAAGTATTCGCTTTCTATCTTCGTCACCTAATAAAATCCAACGTATTGTAATAATTACAAATGTTGTAAATAAATATGATGAGACAATTAATAACCATGTGCCGACGCTAAATCCTTCATAGACGTTCTTCCAATTTTCTTCACCCTTGGCTGGAATAAATGCACATACATTGGCGTAACTATAGCCCCAAATAAACTCAAATAATCTGATACGATTCTTCATCAACAAGAAACCTCCGATGACGATGTTGGCTGTATTATTTTCTAGAAATCCCAATAAACCTGTTATTGTCCAGTTGGATAAAATAACTCCATAGTCACTATCTATATCCAAGTATACGTATTGAATTGTAAGATTTTCTTTTGCTGCTATATTTTCCAATATGTATTGTTCTATCCCTAATTTATCTTCTTCAAGATAAGGATTATAGTCATCCACATCAAATATAACATTGGGTGTATCATCAGCTGCAGCCACATTTATGGTGCAATTCTGGAATTTATCTTCTAAGTGTTCATAATCCATTTTAATAGAAGCGATCTCTTCGCAGTTACTCATGCTTACTAATTCATTTATGGACTTACCACAATTACCATCGTCAAATGGATGATATGTGTACATTTCAAATGCACCTGATATGGATTTTGTTATAAGAAAAACGTTGTATATATTAAGATTCAGAAATACTTGAAATATTTGAGAATATTCTGAATGATTTAAATATTTAATTACCACATACATATGTGCTCTAGGATTCCAAGCAATATCTTTTGATAGATTATTAAAACTTACGTACAGCTCGTGATAATTATTTACGTAAAATATGTAAACGTTTGTCCATAAAGTCAACTTATCGATACGAAATGATCTAGCAATAAATGTATAGCAGGTTTTACTACTTAATAAATTTGCTACATTTTCAATATAATAATCGTAGTGTGCTAATGTGATAGGCGTCCCACAAGGAATATGTTTGTTGATCATTGTCACAATGCAGTCGGCTACAGTATCTAGGTAGACGTCATTTGTTGCATTATTTGTATGAATATCGAAATCTAAAACACTACACGTTACGATATTTCCATAAATAGCAAGGAACGTAAGATATGTTAGAAACATTTTCCAGTTCACTCTTTGTTTCAACTGTGTTTGAACTACTAACTTATAGTTATCTTGTTTATTGATTTTCCGCACAAATAATAATAAATAATTATATGATTCAGTTGTCCAATTTTGTATGATATATGATTTTCTAACGATCTAAATATATTTGTAGTAGTGGACATGATTTATTGCTCTTATGGAAAAAAATGTAATGATTCAAGTGGGTACCCTAATAATGTCCTTTTGATCGATTACTACTAAGGCGCGAAATCTCACTAAGACTAGCCATCTGTGCGGGAGATACTCGTATAGTGTATGTGTTTGCGAACACTATTCTGTTCCTTATTACTTTCACTCTCAAAGTCCAATGGGACAACAATTCAATACGATCGACGAAATATGCAGACACAAGATCAACAACGGCTTTAGGTGCTCTCTGAGGTACTGGTGTGAACTAATTAATAACTATAGATCACCCGATCGAGAAGTCTAACCCAAGACAATGTAGATTTAGAGCCGTATATGTTATTGAACCGATGTGACAGTCTAAGCATTTCATTCAGAACTATAGGTAATTTCTAGAACAGAGTCTAAACTCAAGTAATAATTTATTTATATATTTTGTAATCTTTAATTTATAAAAGAAATATAGTGTCTGCTGGTTTTTATTATTTCAAGATAAGAAGTTAGACCATCTGCTTTATCACCTGAATATTATTTTTTATAAAACATAATTAATATATGTATAAGCAAATATATTGCAGATGGGTTGCCAAATATAGTAAGGCCAAAGGTAGGCACTTTTTGTACGTATGTCTCCTCACAATGCGAGAGGGAGGCGCTATTTATCTTCTACAAAAATAACTTTTTAAGTAATTAAAATTTTTTTATTTTTGATGTGTTTTATTTATATGGTACTTCTTACATAATGAACAATTTTTATTTTCTCAATCATTTTTTTTTGTTTAGTTTCAGATGCCGCCAAATTTTTTACATATTTGGCCAAGAGGTAATTTTATGATGATTGCTCTTCCAAATCAAGATTGCTCGTGGACAGTTACATTGTTTATGCCATTTAATAATTTCAAAAATATAAACACAGAAGAGAAACTTTTGGACTTTTTTCACAAATATTTTCCTGATTCTATACCTTTGATCGGAGAAAAGAAACTTATAGAAGATTTCTTTGGAGGTTCTCCTTCTGCGTTAGTAGCAGTTAAGGTAACTATAATTTGCCATTTTCACACGACGCAGTCCAAAGTATAAAATGATTTCCCAATTTGGTGTTCGTTTTTCTGCTATTAAAAAGACATCATGTAATGGGTGGCAGCACGCAACCTAAATGTATAATAGATATTTCAATCAAATTAAATATGAAAGTAAATGATAATTTTATTTCACAATATTTTCAAGTCCATTACATTTATTTACAATAAGAAATACAATAAATCGAGAAATAGAAAATAAAACAAACTTATTTCTACACATGTACATGTGTATGATGTATATAGGCCGAGTTTCTACTCGTGTACTCGTAGTACACTGTTCTCAGTGTTCACTTGCTCTGCCGCAATGGCAATTTTGATATAAAATGAGCCAAAACATTGTCAGGTTAAATATAGACAGATTTTAGTTTACGTTAATTATATTTTTCAGTGTCGTCCATATCATGTACACGACAAAGCTCTTATAATCGGCGATGCCGCACACGCCGTGGTTCCCTTCTATGGGCAAGGTATGAACGCTGGATTTGAAGACTGTTCAATTCTTGATGAATTGTTCCAAAAATATAATGACGACGTTCCAAATGCTCTCGAAGAATTCTCCACTACTAGATGGAGAGATGCATTCGCGATTAGCGATTTGGCGATGTACAACTATATTGAGGTAATTAAAAATTTTAGATTTTAAAAGCGTAAAAATATTGGTGACCTTAAGTTTGAAATTATTTTTGAAGATTCTTTTTAACCATCTGTCTACGTAGGGCAGATTGAATAGCGTTTCTTAGAGCTTATTATTAACATAATATCTACTGTAAGTTATTATTTTCCCGTTGTTCTTATTAGTTTGTTTTTTTATCTAATTATTAATTATATATGAACTTCTGCATGAATAAAAAGGTATGGGATAATAGAGTCGTGAATATACACTGTTCATGTATTAGTTATTTATTTCATTTACTCGAAGTTGTTGTTTTAAGTCGTAAAACTACCTTAACGGATGTTATTATATAATTACAATCAAACGTTCTAAGGATAACCTACAAAAGGCTATATAAATCATTGTATGCTGCATATTAAAATTACCACATTTTAATTTTTAAAGATAATATTTCAATTTAATTTTTGATTGTTTTAGAGCTACTATGTGTAATTTATTTTTATTATTACATTAATAATTTATTTCAGATGCGAGATTTAGTGACTCGTCCATCGTATCGTTTTCGAAAGGCTGTGGACGATTTCATATTTTGGCTTTTACCAGATTTATGGGTTCCCCTCTATAATTCTGTTACATTCACAACAATGCCTTACAGTCAGTGCGTGAAGAATCGTCAGTGGCAAAATAAGGTACGCAAATAATATAAATATTTATCCACAAATTCTGTATATATATATTATCTCATATTTGCTTTATTCGTAATCTTCGCTAGAGTAATTTAATTGTGAATTGATTCTTTTGTTGTTAAGTGCATTGCTTTTTTTCTTTCAATTTACTTCTTGAGGGTATTATTTTCTTCGCTTTCTCCCTATCCTCATCAATACGCTATGTAGGTGTCGACATAACACGAATCTTTCTTCTATCTGGTATCTCAGCAAACACATGTACGTTTTACACACACCCTTTTTTATATAAAGTCCATTCATATCTTGCTCGGTCTATCTCTACTTTTATGACCATTAATATAACATACCTACCTAATATTGCTTAATTTATGACTTTCGTCCCTCCTCGTGATATGCCCATACCGTGTTCCTTCTTCTTCTAATATATTCATCCCTCTCTAACATCTTTAACTATTAATGCTAATGTTTGCTAATTTATAGTTTAAATAACTTTTATCATTTGGACTTTTTTTTAATTCATTTATTTTTATTTTACAGGTTCTCGCATTCGCTGCCATCTTCTTAATATTCTCTGTTATGGTTCTGTACATGTATTCTAAGTAATAATGAAATATGTATAACATTTAACTAAAATAGAATAAGAAATAAATTTTAAATCAAACATTTTTTTATATTTGTTTTAAGCAAAATGAAATCCTGTTGATTTGGAAGTATGTTTACACATAATTTAACTTGTAAAATATAAACTAGTTAATCAAATAATTTATCCAAAGCAAATTCGGACTATGGTTACGTATGTAAATGAAAATAGCATACTTAGTATATTAAATTAAATAATTTTTAAAATATTGTCTTATGCCGTTGTTTTTGTCCTTGAAACATTTAATGACATTAAAAATCCTAATAGGTACATTTTGATAGGTGTAAAGCAATAAATATCTCTATTATTTTTATCGGAAACCCCTTAGTATTGATATTGACCTAACGTGGGACTCGAACCCAGGATCTCACCTACTACATTACTACATGACAGCCATTAGATCAAGAAAGCAGTGACATCATGATAATTTGATATACGACAGTTGTGAAGAACACTAAACATTAACAAAAGTGGTCTCAGTTCTTATTACTTACAGAAAAGAGTTTAAAAATTTAAAAGATTTTTTCTAGTTTCCTCTCATAATTTTCTAGTTGCCGTCATGATTTATTACCTCGCTTACTATGCGCGATGAAGTCCAAGCTGATAAAGAGACATGGCATTTCTGTAAGGAACTTTATGTCCATTATTATTTTTTACATAGTCATAACTCTGTATACTTCGAACATTTTATTGTATATAAACCAAAGGATTTATAATGTAATTTAGTAAATAAAAACATGATGAGGAAATCTGTATGGCTCATTCATGTGTCATTAATTTTGGAAAGACGTGTGTAAATGACATAAATAAACGTAAAGATCTGTATAGTCTCATGGTTCCGAGCTGTTTAGTTTGTTTGGATATAATAAAAGACAAATCTACCGCTTAAGTTTTAATTAAAAACTAAAGTTGAAAATTAAATAAAATAAATATTTAATTAAAAAATTAAATTAAAGTTTTCCCAATATCTCTTTTATACTATTTATGCTGCTGTCACCTAGTCTCTCAGGGAGCCCCAGATCCACGATTTATCAAACCGGGTCTGAAACTTAATATTGGTGCCTCTCATTTCAAGCGTTTAAGATAAATTATTTAGAAAACTCAGAAATCAGTTACAATAAGGATGTGTTCAAAAACAAATGGATGCACAATTAAATTATCGATAGAACAACATGTGCTCGGTGTTATTCTTAGTGATACAATTTTTTTTCAAACATGAATTATTGCTCCCTGAAATTGCCACCCAGGGCCGATACCTAGGGTTTGCCTCTTCTCAATGTGCGTTCATTTCGTCGTGCTGGGGAGGCTCATTAGCGTCCGGCAATCCAGCTGGGTGCGAAGCCAAGAGACGTACCGGGTGGCGGCCCACCTTGGTGGGCAGTGTGCCATGCGGGTTGGTCCTGGTACTTCTCTGATAGTAGAGTGGACCGTGGGAGCAACCCCTTGGTAGTCGTGTTCTGCTACGGCAGTCTAGCTGTTGGGGCGTCGTGGTTGAGTGCGTAAGCGATACTGCGACGTCCCATTAAAACGGGGAAGATACTGTTCGTTTTAGTGGGTAGTCCTGGCTTCTCTAGCCGGTGAGTCCCACATAACTACCTGTTGTTTGTATGCAGTATGTATAAATTATACATTTCCAAACATTTAGAAAAAAAGGGTTTGCCCTCACCTTGATCCGGGCTGTAAGTTTCAGCCTGTCAGACAGCCCGACAGCTGGATAGTCTTAATAAAAATAATATTACGTATCATTGGTTGTAAATATTTAAGAAAAAAATAATTTAATTAATAATTAAATATTATAATAGATAGTTAAGTAATTACAGTCCTTACTTTTATATTTTTTTAATATATTCTTCCTTCTGTTGCTTTGCTAAAAGTGTAATTTTAGGATACCACAAGAATGTCACTTTGAATATGAAATGTTGTTCTACTATTATAACTCAATTTTATCATTACCAGATACAATTCTGATAAATATCTGTTTTAAATTGTGACCGATATAGTTTAAGAAATACAGGTCAACATATTAATAATTAATTTAATTGTTTATACAATAGTATATGATGAAACTGTACAATAATGTAGCTCATACATCAGAATAACACATAGACTACTTTTTATCTCGGAAAATGTACGGTAATTTAGTACAGTGAATATTATTATGAGTTCTTTCAAGTGAAACAAGAAAATATTCTAAGTACAACACAATTACTTTAGTTATTTTCAAAATGGAGATCCGTTCAAATTATTTTGATCAATTACAGTTCCGTGGTGGAAAAAAATTGGGAACTGCTATATACACTATATACATACACTTAGAATATAAATATTTTTTGTACAACTGGCACGCTTTGAAGCCATTAACAATAAAATTGATTTAAAACATAATACGAATTTTAACATAACATAGCCTCCGTTCGCATGGTAAGCGGGGTGAGGATAAAAGGTAGCCTTCTGATATCCCCATGATGCCATAGATGACCATACTCATATACAATTTTATCAAAATCTGTTCAGCGGGTCAAGTTTCAAGGGGTAAAAACAGAAAGACAGAACACTTTTACTTTTATAATATGAACATTAGCATGGATGATGCTGTATAGCATTTCTATAGTTAAAACATATAAAATCTTTTTATAAACACAAAGCATCTTTCATTAATCTTTATTTGTACGTTGACAAATGATAGTGTCAGTTTCATGGATAAAATCAATAAATAGATGGCAACAATGCAGATCTCAGAGGTACGGAGTGAATAATATAACAAAACTAAAGCAGGAAAGTTATGATGCAGTAGCATAGCACTGTGTTATATTTATCAGCATTGCTTAAAATGTCGGAGGTTTCGAGTTTGATTCCCATAAATGGTAAACATATGTTTGTATATTATATTTGATAGTAATAAGAAAAAAAATTACATGTCTGTTAGAGAGTTAGAGACCTTCTTCATTCTGTTACTACATATTTTTTGTCAAAGTCAAGTAAAATAATAGAAATAAAAATTATAATAACAATTCAAAGGTTTCATTCAAACTTTGACTATACTCGCATGAATTTTGTGCTGGGTTCGTGAAACGTTTATTACTTATGCTCATATTTCATACAAAGTTTATTTATTGAAGGTTGAAACGGGAGCAAAATTCCCCTTCAACGTACGTACGGATATAATAATAATATCACATTTTTCTTGTAAATTTCACTATAAAAATATTTTCATAATTTCTTTTTAATTCTTTTCTTTTATTTTATTTCTTTATGTAAAAGTTTAAATGGATGTTTGGATGTTTGTTACTTAATCACGCCAGAACGGCTGAACGGATCTGGATGAAATATGTTATAGAGGTAGGTTATAGCCTGGAATAATACATAGGGTACTTTCTATACCGGAAAAATGTGCAGTTCCCGTGGGATGGATTTATTTGTTTTTATAGAGGCAAACCCGAGAGAAGCATGTGAGCGAAGAGGGTGAGCCGCTAGTGAAATTTATAAATTCATATATACTTACAGCTAAAACTATATGAAATTTGAAATTAATCGTACTCTATTACACTTTAAAATTAGGTTGATAGTGCAGGTGTTCCCTTTCAATCTGAATCAAAGTTTCTGTATGCATAATTTTTGCTCCATTAAACTTTAAACTCTACTGAAAGTACTGTTAGGTCTGGTCGTAATCGCAAAATTATGCATGAATTCTGAGACCCGGTTTAGTATAAGAATAAGATAACATAATATTCGGGTTTAATAACATTACTTGTTACATTTATTTTTGTTCATTAGCATCATACTACAATTTACGTATTTTTATTATAATACTAGCAACTCATCTTCGCTCCGCTCGGGTTCGTCCCTTGTTACGTTTTAACGTTTAGCTCAGAGACGAGAAATTTTTCCGCAGTAAAAAGTATAACCAGCAAAAATATGACTCGGATAGCCAGCTATCATCATACCAAATTTCATCAAAATCGGTTCAATAGTTTTTTGTGATGCAATCACAGACAGACCGACAGACAGACAGACAGACAAAATTTTTAAAAACTATAGATTCGGCCTCTGTATCGATAATAATGTCTATTCTAATAAAAATTTTCCAAAAAATATTTAATGTACAGATTCGGCTTAAAATTTTATTATATGTATAGATAAATTTATTATATATGAATTTATATAGGTTTATACTATATAGATTTTATTTGATATTTATAGTGTTTTTCATAAGAGTTGTGTAGTGATAAGAAAGTACAGTATTTTCTGATGTAGGTTAACTAAATCTGAAAATCACAAGACACATATTTTAAACATAATTTTTGTTTAAGCTTTTTAAGCTTTTTGGTAGCTAAAATATCCGTTAAGGTTCTTTTTTTCATTGAATCTAATACCAATTGTGAGTTTCATGCTTTAGTTTTTTAACTACCTACTACTCGTAGATTACCTCAAGGGTACTATATAAATTTCAAGAAAAAGATATCACTAGGAGGAAAATAATTACATTTAAGGTGAATTCTGTGTAACTTTTTAGTTAAAAAGTAATTATTATCACTAGTATAAAGGTAAGAGATTCAAAATGAATGTTTCATAAGATGTACAAATTGCTATTAAACTTCAGCAGGGGATAAAAATTGTGAAGTGGTTTCGCGATGAAGTTTTAAATCGACGACGAAATATTGCAAACCTGATGAAACTATATTTTTAACCCCCGACGCAGAAGAGGGATGTTATAAGTTTAATGTGTGTACCTATCTGTGTATTTGTGTGTCTGTCTGTCGCTTTTTAGTGCCCAAACGTATGAACCGATTTTAATTTAGTGTTTTTGTTTGAAAGGTGACTTAATTGAAAGTGTTCTTAGCTATAAATCAAGAAAATCTCTTCTTTAATTTGCAGGCTTAGCTCTTTTTTAGACGGTAAAAGAATATGATCAACTTCCACAGATTTGAAACTTGGTATCCTGTTATTTCAATGATATTGC